TAATCGCTGGACAGCAACAAAACTGTAATGGCCTTAATTTGAACAAATTGGCGGTTTTCTAAAATTTTATCACGTCGTCGCCTGCCGCTGACTACTTAACCAAAGCTGCTTAAGCAAACGAGCCATCAAAGTATCTTCACTTGTGCGAGTACGTATTTATAATTATATACGAGTATATATTTATACGGTATGCCATAATACTTTGTCCATTTTCCCCGCTTCGATGGCTGATTAAACTTTCAGTCCGCAATGCCGTAGAATGAAAGTGAAAAGTCGAATATCGAAATGTCTGCGTTCTGTAATTGCTACTCTTGTGCGTTGTTTACGTTTTCGAGAGGGTATTATGCTTTGCTGACTCAGTTGGTGACACTTTCAATATGCTTTGTTTATGGTTAGACCAATAAAAATGCCATTTCTATTAAATGGGAATGTTTAAATAATAATCTGATTTTTTCTGTAAGCATTAAAAAATATAAATTTAAATATAAAAAATATACGACGCCATTTGGTACTTATTATAAACGATTAAAAGCATAAATTTGGCTTAAACCAATTTGTTTGAAAACAATATTGGTTAAAGATAGTTTTATATAAAAATATTTTTACTAAAGAAAGTTTTAGTTGAATTGGAAATACAACAGACAAAAAAAATACGAACTATTGGGTTGCAAGAAAGTCATGTCGTTTTTTTTCAATATTTCAAAGATGATTTATTTATATCAGACTTATAATTAATCAATTATGTATTGGCCGTTTTGTTCGACCACTAATGACCATCTCTCGGCAGCTGCATAATTCCGCGCTCGAAGAACTTTTGGTCTTTTCCAGCAAAGAATCGAGACATGTGGTTTTCGACAGCCTCATCTGAATAATTTAAAAAAAATTGGTGTATTTTAAAAATTAAAATGGGCGTTAGAGTGGGCGTGGCAAATTTTTTTTGGATCAATCGATAGGTATCGACGAGACCAATACATTTCAGTTAAAATTTTTTATCTAGCATGAAAATTGTGGGCGTCACATGTTTTCGCGGTTTGTGGACGTTAAAAAGGGCGTGGCAAACTTTTTTTTGGGTCAATCGATAGGTATTGGTGAGAACAATACATTTCAGTTAAAATTTTTATTCTAGCATCAAAACTATAGGAGCCACAGTTTTGAGCGGTTTGTGGGCGTTAGAGTGGGCGTGGCACTGTGCTGAAACAAACTTGCGCTGCGTAAGAAGCTCAGGAATCTGCACGCCAAATCTCAATAGCCTAGCTCCCATAGTTTCCGAGATCTCAGCGTTCATCCGGACGGACAGACGGAGAGACGGACAGACGGACATGGCTAGATCGACTCGGCTAGTGATCCTGATCAAGAATATATATACTTTTGGGGTCGGAAACGCTTCCTTCTGCCTGTTACATACTTTCCGACGAATCTAGTATACCCTTTTACTCTACGAGTAACGGGTATAAATATTTAAAATTCTTCTTTGGCATTATACTTTTGAAGATCATCTTAAGAAGAACAGAAATTCGTTTTCATATGGTATTCCCATAAAAGTAGGGAGTTGCAACTCTACGACTGGGCGGTTTGGGTCTTGGTCGACCGAAGGGGAAGTCTGTAATTTGTGGCAGCAACTGGACATGGCAATTTCACCTGGGCAGCCCCACTCCTCTCCAGCGGAGCGTCGGCAATGACAATGGCAATGCGGTGTGCCGTTAGCCAGACGTCAATCAACAGGTGAAATGCCTAAGCGAGTCCAATACGTATAGTTATTGATTACGTGCTGCGTTTGCTTAAACGGATTGCCAAAGAGGACGGATTGCCGACTGCCGATGGCCGATTGCAACTGCAACTGCAACGGCTGGGAGCAAGGTAATTGCTGTCTAGGTAATTGGTGGCTTATTGTTTATAGAGTGGTTAGTTAGTTTGTCGCCTTTACAATATGCATAATCATATGCAAATATCAGTGCCTCTGGTGAATGAACTAGCCAGGAGACGGATGCCGAGCTGCAAAAACTGAAAACCCTGGCTGGCAGCAACTCGTTCGACGAAAGCCCAAATGGAATTCGCATAATTTCGGGTTTCCTCTGGGCTTGGCCAGCGAGACCATTGAACTTGACAAAGGATTTTCCTAACGGCCTAAGCGGAACTATTGATCAGCGGCCTGTCGCCGCTGCGACGACCATAAACAACGGTGTGGTTAACCCAAATTGCAACTCGAAATGCAACTTTTATTTTAGCGGCAAGCATTTTATTTTCAAGCCCGCTGCACATTGAGGCAAATGCAGGCGAGCAGGCCAGTGTAATTGGTGCACGTAAAGCAAAGCTAAAGCCATCCATTGTCTGGATCTTGGCGAAACTTGGCGCATCAGGTGCTCTCATTGCAAATGAAAGTGCTCGCTTTGCCGGCCACATTACAATTTGTCAAATATTCAGACGACTTCAGGTGGCAATTCAATTGAAGAAGCTGCAACTGCATTGTGCTGCGATTGTAATTGGATTTGCAGGTGAAGGTGAATTTAAATCTGAATCTTAAACTGCGCCTGAAGTCATTGATCGCCGAGCAAATGAAATGCCATTGCATTTGCATTGAAATTATAGCCATTTCTTTTTGTGTTGCAAACGCAGTGAGAGACTTTTTAATAACCGCTAATTGTGGCCAACAAACTTGCGATCGCCGCGTGATTCACTTACCCTCATCTTGTTTCGGCTTGGATTTATACTGAGTTTCGTTGTTTTATTGCTTGTAGAAAGCTCTGGGCAAATGTCGAGTGACTTTTGGCTTCTTCTGCTACTCCAGCAGCAAATAGATGAAGATCAAAATGGCAATTAGGTATATAATCACATCAATTAACTTCATGTCAGCGAGCGCCGCGGCGCTTTCTTCGGTTTCCAACTGCACGCACAGAAGAATTCAAAAAAGAGATTCGAAATTCGATTCGAAAATCGGGGGAGCACGACGTCCGCACCTGTTCAAGTCGCGAAGACAACTGAGTGTTGGCTGGTAGTTGGTAACGGACAAAAACCATGTGCCGATCCGTTGGAGTTCCACTGGAATGCGACGAAGACTCGCATTGGAAGCGGGCACTGGCGCACTGAGCAATGAAGAAAGTGGTCGGATTTTCATGAAACTAGTTTGCAAAGGCCAAAACACAGCACGCGACCAGCGGCAGCAACATGAATTGCCAGCAAGTGGCCGATTAATCGCAACGAAAGTGTTTTTGCCATTGACTGTTCTTGGCCGGCAAAAGAAAGAAAGACAAAGAAAGGAAAGGAAAGAAGCGACCGCGCAAACAAAAGACTTAGGCAGCGAACTTGTTGTCGCGCGTCAGCAGTCGCTCTTTACCTTAAAAAGCAATGCGGACCAGGCGCACATGATCAAGAGATGGCCTGCCACCTGTTGCCTGGCATTGCTCTTTTTTCGCTCTGGCCGGCGGCAGAGGCAGCAACAGGAGCAAAGCCATCGATTGACATTATGAAATGCGGCAGGCACAGTGGGAATAGCAGACAATTTTAGAGACTTCTGAAGAAAATTGGTTGAGAAATTAAAAATATAAAGGGGAATAGTATAAAAATAGTTATGAGAAATAATACTGTAAGGATGTACCTGCATTTTGAAGTCACAATTATTCACTTTCGTATTATTTATTAAATGAAATACAAAAATCCAACAATACACAAATAATACACATGATAATATGAAAATATTTAAATCAACTTGAAGCATTTCCTATACTTATTAAGAAAAAAATTTATATTTAAATCAATGTTAAATTAAATATAGGTGTTACATTTTTTATTTCCATACTTTGAATAACTAAAAACACCAATAGAATAAAATCATAGCTAAAAATATTAAAACTTTTATTCACTTCACACTTTCCACGGCTATCTTTGTCTATGTTAAACAAAAACCTTAAGTTCCCTAATTTAAATATATATATATATATTTTTATAGAACATTTTTTAAGCCTCATCAGTATGAGCATTACAATGAAATTGTTCAAAAAAACAGGTTTCCTATGCAAATTTGGAAAAAAAAACCCTTCTATCAAATTAACATAAAAGTGATAGCCCAATTGGATGCTATGTACTTCGTGGAAAAATTAAAATTAGTTGTCATCTACATTTATTGTAATATAATGTGGGTCAGTTCGTATGCAAACTAATATCGAAAGTCCATACAAGAGTCCAGAGAGTAGGCCCAATTTCTGTTGCTCGCCACTTGTTTCCTACAACCAAGGCCCTTCGATGATAATGAGTCGTACTTATGAAACGCTCCCCCCATTCACAATAATTTGAGGATTTTATGCAGGGCGCGACATCCAATTTCTAAACGCAATTGGTCATTGGAATTTTATTACGCCCGGCTGCCTTTTGTGGGTCAATATTGGTCAGCCCAAACTTTTGGGCCATAAATCAAAATTTCACTTTCATAAAGCTGCCAATTATTTTTGTTGGAAATTTCTTTGCTATTTTTTTCTGTATTTATATTTTATTTTGAAATATTATTTTTAACAAGGTTTTTTAAACATTAACAACATAATATTATTATTATACCTTTTATTTCATACATTTATCATTTGTTTTGTTTTTCGGTTGCGTTTTAGACAAATGTTTAAAATATGCGTTTTTAGCTTTTTAATTTGTTATTTAAATTTTATTTACTTGTTGTTATTTTTGCCTTTTTGAGGCCGCTTTAAACTAAACTAATTTGTCATTTTATGCTTTCTGCTCTGATTTCGGTTTAATTAATGTTTTTTTAAATATAAATTAATGATTTTTATCGCTTTTTACGTTTTATTTATGTCTACGTTTACGTTATCCGTTGTGTAAATATACCTCATATAAATAGCGAGTAAAAACTAAAAAAATGTAACTACATTAATATGATTTGCATTTTTTTTGGGTTTGCATTATTTATACAATTTATTTAGCACACATTGCCGGATGTGTATATGTGCGTGTGCGGGTATCATGTGAAAGTGCTGCGAAATTATAAAAAATATTTTTCGTTTTAGTTGCTATTGTAATGTTAATTATGATATTTGTTAATATCGTTATTCCTTAAAAAAATGAACATTTCCGCCTTAAACCTGTAAAATTATCATATTAGTTTCGGTTTTCGTTTTGGTTTTTAGCTGCAAACGTTGATTCTATACAAAAAATCTAACTACAGTAAAATGCTGCATAGCTTCACATTTACGAGTATGATAATATATTTTATATTTTTTTTGTGGCATTTTATTGACGAATTTTCTACAAAAACCTTTGCACTTACACTAGTTTATACGGCATTGAGTAGTTTTATGCGACATTATTAATATATGTATTATTATTTTGTGTGAACAAAGCTGCTCGGAAGTGTTAAATTGAGCGAAGTGGAAAAGTATACTCGAAGTTATTATCAAATATGAATTGGAAATGCAAATGGGAAAGGCAGCTTTGTCAGCGGGTTTTTCTTTTCTATAATTTTCGATAAATTTTCTTTTGCTTGTTTCAAAGAAGCTTTCGTTTCTGGTTTTTCTCGGTTGAATATGTACTTTACTTGCGTTCCTTTTTATTTCATTTATGTAGATCTGCTATAGCGTAAACATGATTTTATCAAGTTTCACAACATCGAGAGTTCATTTTTGTTCTTGTTGTTGGGTTGTTCATCGCTGTCGATGTGGTGTGTGGGTGTGTGTGAGTGAGTATTAGTGTTGTTGGGTGTATAAGTGACGTTTCTATAAATTTAATAACTAGTTTATTCATTTAAAAATTATGTTTAACTTTTGGGTTTTCGCTACGCCACCTCTATCATCGTTTCCATATTATTTTAGGATTGCAAATGCGTTTTGTTGTCGATTTAATAATAAGTTTATCATTAACAATATATGAACTGCTTGTCGCGATATCTAGTCGTCTTATGTTTATGCTAAGCTATGCTATGCTCTCGATTCGTTAACATTTACACTTGACTATTTACGATTACTTTACCATTACCATTACCATTTACCATTTACCTTTACCGCCACCGTTACCTTTACCATTAACTTTAATTTACTTTAATGGAGTTTAAATGTTTCTCACATCGCACGGCTACATACATGTTTACATAAATTTCGAAGGCGCATAATATTCACATATTTTGTTTTTAATTTACGTTCTGGGTAAGCCTAGGCTACACAAAATTCCACTACAAATCAAATATGAAACGAAATGGTAATTGGCTCTTCTTTATTTTTCGCATTCACTTATAAATTGTTATATTTTTGTATTTGGTTTTCGTATTAAATTTAAAAGCTCGAATTCGTTTTTACTTAAATTTGTTATTCGCTAATCATTTGTGGAAACAATCAAACAAATCCATGGGATGCTGTTCTGTGCCATTTTCTTGTTACGCTTCTTTGGTATTTTGGTTTTTCCTCTATTGAATGAATGCTGTCAGCTTTTGGTGGTTTGATCTACATTTAATGTGATTTCTATACGCTTTGGCAGTGTTTATCATTTGAACAAATTACAATTATGACCCGAAAACTCTTTTTGAACGGCAAAACGAAACAGCACGGGATAAACGAGTTAAACGATAACGTATTCGAGATACTTTAGTATCGGTATCAGTTGCTTATCATATTTACAGGCTATGTACAAAAATCAGAGCGTTCCACTTTGGCGTTTCGAGCGCAAGTGCGTGAAGTCGGTAGAGAAGTTAGGGTAGAAGTTATAGAGAGAAGTCGGAAGGAAATACATATAACGTTTTCGCCATTCTTGGTTACCGATTGTATCTATCAAAATTGTTTAGAACACCACAGTTGCTGCTCGTAAATCGCTGGTAAAAAGCGCACACATTCACATACACTAAAAAATATTACTAACTACTTTTTCTTCGACCCTCGTCGCACTCTATATTCCGGCATAGGTGTCCTCTAGATTAAGTAGTATTGAATAATGATTCGAATGCGCTACTTACAATATTTTGTCGTGTTTACTCGAGAGTTATATCCCTCTCATTTGTGTGTCGTGTGTTGAGATGTGAATGTAAGAAGTTGTTCAATTTAGAATTAGCAAATTTGACTTGTGTCGAGTGAAAAAGCTGAGATTCCTCTAGTTAAGTGTAATTCTTTGCATATGGCTTAGTATTTGGCTCGAATCGCCCCTGACTGGGCAATCTTTGGCCAAAACAACCATGTTTTCTCTGGCCTTCATAAAAGATATCAGGCCGAGCCATGTATGTATTTGCTTTAGGTGTACGATACGAATTAGCTAGCAAATTGTTGGCTTTTAGGTGTCGTTAATCGATATTTGTGTTTAGTTTTACTTTAAAAGTTTAATGATTACAATATGCTCTGCTCTATATAAATCGTTTTGCGCATGCTCAGAAACTTCTAAATGCAGTTTTTGAATTTTAGCCTCATTGCCTTGTATCGGTATCTGTATCTGTATCTCGCTATCAGTATCTGTATCTCAGCCAAAAGCAATCTCGCAAATATCGGTTTTCAGTGTTTAATTCGTGTGATCGTTATAAATTGTTGCGTTGTGGCCGCATTCGCGGCTTAGAGAAAGATTTTGAGACATGAGAGTACATAGATCGAGTAGACTTAGTTGTAGTTTTTGGTAGTTTGTTTTTCGCTCAGTGTGTGGCTGAGACTTCCTTGCTTCCTTGTTTAATGTGTAGCTTACCTCACTAATGGTTCCCAATTGCTTACGTCACACCATTGAGATGGATTTTCGTTTAGAATTCAATTTTCAATTGTTTCTTATGCAATGATAGCGCCATGAAGAGAACTCAAAATGTAAATGAAAGTTAATGACAAACGATTCTTAAATGTAAAGATGATTGAAATCACTCATACGTAAATACATACCCATAAGAATAACTAATGATTGTTGCTTGGAGAACGAAATTCGGGGCAATCAACAGATAACAAACTGAAAACTCAAATAATAATAAATTTTATTGGGGCACAAAGTCGATTACAAAATAATATGGATAAAGAAGGATACAAGATTAACCAATGTAGTTGTAAGATTAAAATTATAAGTATACAGAATATGATAATTTCAAGGTTCTAAAAAGGCATACGGAATGATGTGGGAAGCAATCAGTTGGCAGTTGAACGATGGATATCAGGGCTATTGGTCTTGTTCCCCCGATCCGGATTAGCTTTTTATATGTGCGGAGACAGGCGGCGTTGCCATCGACGTTGATCTGGTGGTCTGTGGTTGGGCTGTCTCTTGATTGTTAGTTGGGATGGACAAAATACACCGGGCCGCATGCCTCCGCACACATAAAAAAGCAGAGCAGCGCATTTTAATGGCACCCAAAGGTTCGTATCTCTAACTAATTAACGCTTTTGATTTCACTTTTTGTACACGGTACAATCGAATTTACACACAAATATGTCTTTTTTCTCTGCCGATTTGTTGCGTTTGTCTGAATATCTTATGCCAATAGGTAGTTGTGGGTGCGGTGCCACAAATGCGCTGCTCTGCCTTCGATTAGCTTCTCCATCGTTCAAATGTACGAATAAGGACCATCAGTTAAGGCGCTACACAGTAACAATCAAGAGTTATCATCCTTGTTGGAGCCGCCCCCGCCGACCCGGAGCCCTGTGTGTTGGTGCCTCGTCCGCCGGCAGGTGCTCGAACCGCTGGCGGCTTGTACTCCAGGCCCGGATCGAATTGCATTAAAACGAATACCTGAAGAGGATTCAAATTATTATAATAAAATGATCATATATGGTATATAAGCTATCCGCACCTGATCTGTTGGCAGTAGTGAAAAGTCATCGGGTGGGTTGGTTATTACATAACGTTTGCTGCTCGCATCACAGCTGGAGCTGGTGTCCCTGAATCGGTATAATCCGATGCACAGCATTCCGTACGACTTGAGGGCCGCCACAAAGAGGTCCCCGTACTTGCCGCACTCCCCGAACTGAGCCAGCGGACCGTCGTACAGTGAGATTTGACCCACTCGACATCTGTGGATAGGATCATCAAAAAAATACTCTTAGTAATTTGTTTATGTATCATTGGTATCCAGATAAGGGATAATGATAGCAATTTCAGTAAGGTATAAGTAGGTATTCAGATAATTTAAGAAATACTTTTATCAATTCAGTAAAGTATTCATTATATTCAAATACTTGTGGCAACTTGAGTAAGGTATTCATAAGGTATTCAGTGTTCATTAGGTGTTATTCCATTAAATCCATGTGATTATTCCACTTCCTTTCTTGTTGACTCACCTGTCCGATTGCTCAGACTCTCCACGGTGCTGTAGCCTCCCCGGAGGCCAGCTCCCTCGGCCAGGATCAGTTCCAGCTCGGGCGTGGCGCCGCCCGTTATCAGTGAGCGGATCAGCGTTAAGGCGTTTTGATTGAAGTAAGTCTGTTTAGATGAGGTCAATCCAAAGATATATTACAAAATAACCAATAGAGCATAACATTTACAGCTTTAAAAACCCATTCAAGGACTAAAACGAGACATTACCGTGGACATCAGCGAGTCTAACACACTCACAGCGAAGGCTGTGCCGCAGGCGAAAGGCTGCGTCAGATATAGTTCTGTATCTGGATCATCGTCGTCGTCTTGATCGAGAAACTGCACGTTACTATCATTGACCAGTTCTTTAAACGACAACCAACATGTGAAGCATTAGTAGAGCAGACACTTGAACCGCTTTCGTGGCAGAAAACGGGTGAGCCTGGCCAGGATCAGAGGATATTTCCAGCCCCCTATATAAGGAATCCCCCCTCTGGATTCCACCCTGACCTGGCCAGCCTCACATTCGTTCGGTCGTTCGTAAACTCGGCCAACCTAGTGCGATGCAGTTTACCTGTTATCATGGGCACATTGGCGCCATAGACTGAGCCCCTCCGCTGCAGCACAATGGGACTGCCGGCGGTGGCGCTCAGGTTGTCGAACTCCGGACCGCGCTGGCTCAGAACCCCGATCGTGTCGTCAAAGGTCATGGCCTTGATGTTCAGTGAGGCGAGGATCGCCTCCTTGTCGGCCAGCGTGGGATCGTCGTTGCTAGGAACTTTGGCCGACAGGATGCAGCACATATCACACAGATTGACGTTCACGGCCCGCAGGTCGGCGCGACTCAGCGGGGATCCGTTGAGCACCGAGATTTGGGCAGGTTTTGCAGCATCTTCCACTCGCGCCGGATGTAGTCCACCGAGCCCACAATGACCACGTGCTTCAGCTCGTGGTAGTGGAAGTTGGACGCCCGCAGCGGCATCACCAGGTTCCGCAGCCCGATCAGCGGCGAATCCGGATCGGCGAACAGGCACACGACCACGTGGCCGTTAAGCACGGTCATGGCCGCCTGGTTGCGATCCTGCAGAGAAATATCAAGTTTTTCATTATCACCAGAACCTATATCACAACAAAAAAATATTGTATTATATACTTATTAATTTTAATCTAATAACGGTCGAAGTCTTTCATTGAGTGGGCATAGGAACAGCTCTGATCCTTCTCTGCCGCCACACAAACAGTTTACAAAAGTGTACATTTCATGAAGCTATGACTGATTTCTAAATAGATTGGTAATAGTTTGAGTATATCTTTCTAAGTTGGAAATTATTATTAAATATTATTATTAACTTTGTTAACCTACCAGTATGCAGTCTTCTAAGCTCTTTGCGGGACTCCAGTGGAACATGCCCGTCGAGTCGTACTTCATTTCGGTCTTCTCGAAATCAAAGTCCTTCGACTGATCGTCCGCAATGCCGGCGGGCAGTGAGACGCCGCCGTTTTGATTCTGTGTGCCCGTGCCGGAACTGCGACTCGTCGGCCTAGACACAAGTAGATCGATAGGATAGAGAGGTGTTAGCCATCGGGCGGTCTGTGCTGGAGCTCGGTTCGAGTCGTTCATAATGGGGTTTACTTCGATTCAACTTTTGAATTGCAAATGCAGATTATCAACCAATTCAAAAACAAACGCTACATCCAAATGCAAAGTGTTCATCGGAAACGCTACGAGTACGTGTTTCGTTCAAAAATGATGTGGATACTTCAATACGAGTACGAGTACTTGGAGCATATTGAATTAAAATGTGATCTCAATACGATATAGTTAAAGATAGAGAGTTTACGTTTACAAAGATAAATACATAGAGATAGAGAGATAGAGAAGATCGTGTGCTAAGAACAAAAGTCTCGAAATGAATGCGAACAAGAATTTGAGAATAAATCAATATGTCACTACGCAAAATGCTTAATCTGCCATCCGGCGGTGGTGAGGGTTGTATGGATCATACTCTAGATACTATTAGTGTAATCCGTGACTGGCGATCTCCCTCAGGTGTTTCATTGTGATTCAGGTGCTGGGCATGCGCAAGGGAGATGCCTCAAAGAACCATACCCCTCCCGATCCGCCGGATTGGCATTTTATCTACAATACTTAATGCTGTTTTGTAACTTTAAAGGAAAAGAGATAATAATAGAAAATATATGGTACACAGGTGCAAGTTTTGACACAAAGATGAACACAGAAAAACACACACAACACTTAGATTGCAATTCAAGTTCAAATGATTAGAGAAATAGAGAATGCAGGAGAAAAAGTGAGCGATTATTGAGCTTAATGTATGCTTTCGGGGTCTAGGACCAACAATATCATGAAAAGTCTATAAAAACAGTTAAAATATTTAAAGAATCTAAATAAAACAGGTGCATTATTTGCGCCATAAGGTATGCTATACTTTTTGATTGATCCTTACTCAAGATTGGTATTGGAATTTAAGATTCCTTAAAGGAATTTGGAAAAGCAAGATTATTTTTCATTGGTATATTTAGAAACTTGTTTACTTCAATATTTCTGACTACATATTAAAGTTTACGAAACTAGAATATAAGTTTATCAGCAAAAGAGAGTTGGAGTTGTAGAAATGCCTTTTAAAGGCACCTATATTTAACATTAACGAAGGCAATTACGAATTTAACTTTTAGTAAAGTTAGTATTTATTTAGTTGGAGAGGCGCACACACATGAAGAAGGGAGCTCAGATGTTAGTAGACAGAATGTTTCAGAATGATAGGCGGTTAGTTATGCTGGGTTAGTTTTGAATGCGAAATAATCATGGGGCGCACACACATACACACGGACATCTACAAACACACACTCACACGCACACAGACACAGTAGACAGCGACATGACAATAAACGCACATATTTGGTTAAATTTTTGTATGTTTAGTACGCGTATTTGATGGTATGGCATAGCTTTCGATCAATCAATATCAATGTGTCAAACAAAATGCGCATAAGATGTAGTTAGATAAGTATTAACGTTACTAAGGTATAGTTTAAAAAAGGCTTTTGGCTTTTTTGTTTGTTTGATAGAGTTCGTAAGTTAAAAATCTAGGAAATTATGGACGCATACATGAGCTTTTTAACTTCGTAAGCAAGTTGATAGCCCGCATAAGGGTTAGCATCATTCTCTGGTGGCCTGAAACAAAATGTTGTTCGTTTTTATACATTTAGACTGGTTAAAAGTTATAATTGGTTGGGTTGTTTTTTGGTTTTTTCGTTTTTCTTGAGTGAGTGAGTGATTGAGTGAGCAGGTGAGTGAGACAGTTAGTTGAGGTGTTTGGATTAGTTGGTTAAAGAGCATTTACATATGTACGAGGAACCTAGAAAACCTTCGCCTGTCCCTTGTGTTGTGTGAAATAAAACATATAATAAACACAATAATCATAATTGAGTGTGGTTTTCTTTCGATATCGGTATTGCTTGTTTGGTAGTAACGCAACGGAAAAGTGGAAAATCAAACTTGATGCAGCTGCAAACGGAGTTGGCCTAAAAAGTGTATTCATTGAGTTTCTTTTTGCTCTTGCTCGATTACCGACTTTGCTTTGCTATTTGATAACTGAACAGAGTGCTGTTTAATGTGATAAACTCTATAGTTAATAGATGGCCTGTTGTTGTTCCTCCCCCCTGTTACATATATAGTATATACAATCCCCACCAGATATAATCGGATTACTCACCTGTTGTACTGCGATGGCGATATCACTTGGCCCTCCACCTGCCGGCTCACATTCACCGTGGGCTTCACCTTGTTCACCTGCTTTCCCGCCGCTGCAGCTGCCGCAGCAGCCGCTGCCGTGTTGTTCATGTGGTGCATGCCACCTGTACCGTTGCCAGTGCCATTCGGACGGCGCACATTGCGATTCAGTACTGTAATATACAAATTGGAACCAATGATAATGATAATGTAGACCAGCAGAACTTACGATTCGTATCTTCTCTGTCACGTGTGATATCACCTGTGACATTTCGCATTTGGCATTTAACATTTGGCAGGCAGAAGCGTTCGTTTGACGAGAGATCAGAGATCAAAGATCAGAGATAAAGAGCAGATCAATCGATTAGTAATCTTGGCTGGAGGCTGGACACGCTGGTCAGAGTGTGAAGAGATACTCATTGGCTTTAAGTATTAGTCATTAGTTAATCGAGAAAGGTATTTTTGAGCCGCGTGTTGCATGTTGCATTTGGTTTAGATTTGTTATTGGTTCTTAGTTCTTGTTGGTTATGGTGATGCTGTGTGTGGCTTGCGACAGTAATAAACAAAGTTCGATAACAAGCAGATCGGTTATGCAATTAAAAACGAAGGCACACAGGGTGATGTGTACAAATAAGTAAAGTAAGTTAAATAGACATCAATATGGGTTCGAGTAATAAGCATGAGGAGTAATACAGGAGATATATGGCGGCTCTTTAGATAGATTATTTTAACGAGTTACATTAGCAGAGAAACGAGTTCTGTTCAAGAATCAACGCAAAAACAGAGTTATGCAAACGAATATCTAAACAATTATCATGGGTTGTACTTGATCGTTTGTTTATTGGATTGGATACAGATTTACTTTTACAACTGAGGAACAAAGCGAACCAAGGAACTGAAAGAAAACGGAGGACAAGGTCAAAGGCAAACTGAAACTGATCTTGATTGGGTTATGTGTAATGTGAGAGTGGCCCGGTCGAACAATGGGCTATATCCACCTATCGACGTCAAAATAACCTTTCTGTGGATCTGATCTCTGACTGATACCAAATTGAGTGTTCGACTGGGGGACGAGACTTTACCCGATACAGATCCACGCACATGCACCCGCTTGGGTAGCTCTGGAGGCGTAAATGTGGGTGCAGGATGGTGTTCATCTGTAAAATACGGTGGTTCGTTATCGCACAGCTCAGAAAATCAGATTCGGTGTGTATGCATTTCTTTGTGTTATTTATATGGTCAAGCTTTTTATGTGAAGCTCATAATTGCTTTTGAATATACAACAAATTCTTTTGTTTTGGTTCTGTTTTCTTTTTTCTTTTTTTTTTTAAGGGGGATTGTGTTTGGTTTTTGTAAGAACTGAAGCGGTAAGAGTTTTGGTTTGTTTCCAAAATAAACGAGAAATTCGAGAGAAAATCATATAGAAATAGTCTGACTTTTGGGGAAACCCAGGAAAACCTGACGAAATCAAATCAAAAGAAAACGGCTATCCGCCGAAACTGAACGAAAAGTGTTCAAGATGGTTGGGGGATGGTTTTTCGGGATTCATATTAGGGTATTTGCTTCATAGAATATCGAACAAAACATGCAAATAAATATGAGTTGGAACAGAACTTGTGATGGTTATCTTACATTTATACAAACGGGTACAAAATATATAGATATATAGAGTATACATAGGTAAAACGGTAAACAAGACTAAGCAAGCATTGGTATAGGTATTTAGGGATACAAACCAAATCGGTTAAAGCTTGAAGCATTATTTAAGCAACACGCTGACTAAGTGCGGATTACAAGCTGAGTAGCAAGATGGTTTGGCAATACTCTAGATATTCATCGGTAGCTTTTATTGGCTCGCTGGATTTCGGTATCCGATTATCAAAAGCACTTAATACTTAGACTGCTATAACGGCTAACACCCACTTCAAGAACAACGTCAAACGATCTCTCCAACTACGAGTTGCACTATCTAGTTTAACCCCTGCTTCTGAATGGGGTCTGAATTTAACGATTATAGTTGGTTAGCAATTGAACTGCATGGAATTTTGAATTTAATCGCTTTCTAATTGATCCCCTTCCCCTCTTCTGTTCCCCGGGGGGATTGGTGCAGTGCTCGGGGGGATGAGAGGAGCTGCTTGATTGCCGCTTTTTCAAACTTTTTTTTGGGTGGTTGTGATTGGATGGTGGCCCTAATCATTGGCTCAGTTGCTTTGCTTTCTCAAGTCATTTATGTTTTATTTATTCATGTTGGTTTATGCATGGTAAAACAATAACTTACGATAGGTCTAATTTAATGGGGTTCTCTCTCTGGGTAAAACCGAAAACAACGAAAACTAAACCAAGATACAATACAAATCACGAGAATCGAAACGAAAAACGTGCACTGGCACATATGAGGGGGAATTTATCGAAAACTCTAGTAAATTCAAATAATAATGAAACGTTTTAGACAAGTACAAATGCGATTTAATTAGAGTATTTCTGTTTTTTTTCGGTATGGATATACAACAGATTGAGTTAGTTTGACTTACTTGACAACGAGTATTCATCGTCTTCTACACACACACACAGAGACATATAAATAGGAGTATTTATTGTAGTTGTAGTAGTTGATACGGAATACGAATGTGTGGGTAGGGAAGTACAATAGAAAGATGATAGGTTTACAAATTTGATATATTATATAGAAAGGAACATAGTCCGGACGCAGAAGATCTGGTTTGTATATTTTACAGAGAATGAGTGTAGTGTAGTGTGGTGTTGGGATATGCAGGTCCTCAAGACCTTGTGTTTCGTGTTTTATGGAGTGTCAGTGTTACCACTTAGTATATCATATAAAGAGGAAACTTGAAGTATTTGTTGGTATGACATAGTTGTTCTAAGATACGTGAACAGGTAGAATTGTATCACGAATAAACGATACTATACGACATGATACGATGCGATACGAAGATACAATACACAATATGTAGTTAACGTTTGTACAAAATACTTTACGATATACGAGTACGATAATTATGTTAGAGAATGAGTTATAAACACGCCGACTCGACTTGATAACAAAATGGAAAGAGTATGGATAGTATGGAGTTCATACGAAAACACAACGTTTGAATCGAGTATAGTTACTGATTATGTAGTATCCAAATGGTTGATTTCCAATTTTAACTGACTCAAAACGAAGTTTGGTTTATTTGGTTCTTTACTTTACTTAGTTTACTACACACTCACACGCACACTAAGGTTAAAGTTGAATATGAAAAAGTACACAATTACTAGAACGAACGAGTAGAAACGAAACATGTAGGTGTGTGTGTGTGAGCGAGTTATTTTGAGTAGTGCGTTAGTGTTGGAAAGGGGGCGGGTGGTTCTGGGGGTGGGCGGGGCCAGGGGCTCTGTGTGTTTGTGTTTGTTTCGTGTTTGTGTGGCTGTGTTCTGACAAAGATTGATTGATTTTCGATTGTTTGGCTGCCTGATTGATTGGCTTGGTTTTTGATTGGTTTGCTGAATGGCATATGCAGCTGAACAGTAGCAATTCGAGTTAGTTAGTTAGTTAGTTGGTAGTTAGTTTGGCGCTATAAACATGTAATCAAGCTTTTTCTTGGTTGGCAAGAGAGTCTTTGGGGCAGATGTAATGGTAAATTTTGGTTGCCAATTGAAAATCATGTGGGGTTTCGTGGTTTCTGGTTTCATGTTATGAAATGTATGTTTTGTATGCTTATCGGTAACAGTAGTAGAGTAGTAGTAGAGACAGAGACAGGATATAGAGAGATAGAAAGAGACAGAGAGAGAGTGAGAGAGTAGAGTAAGTTATACGTACTTGCACGCCCAACCATTTGTACGGCTCGGACGCCTTTCCGGAAGGTGGCCACTGTTTTTGTTTCATGAAAACAGAATTTTATAGGATTCGTGTGAATAGGTAAATGATGGCAAGGTAATGATTGTTGATTTCAATATAATTTAGTTCATCTTCATCTTCTCGCAATCTTCGTATGCTTATCATTGGAACATCATTCAACAAATGATGGATAAATCAAAATATAGGAAATTAAATACTCTATAACGGAAATCATAAGTAAATCGCACGGCACACGTTGTACTTGAACTTTCGGTAAATATATATGCTGATATATTCATATGTGGTATGCAGTTTATGATTATAAATAGATATATGCAATGTATATAAAGAATATATACTAAGTATGCTTTCTGTTTATTATGACATTATACGCGCTTCTCGGGCGAACCAAACCAGAAATCGTAGCAAAACTAATTTAGTTCTATAGTAAGTAATGTTATATTTATACTGAGTACGATAGAGAGAACGATAGAGCGATAGTAGGGATCAGAAGTACCAACTGAAGAAAAACTGAAACTGATTTCGTTGCAGTTGAATGACACTTTATTCCCTGTTTTCCAATATTTATTCTACCCAGTTCCTCTCAATCTGAATCATTAAGTTTCTATTTTCTTGCGGGGATTCTTTGGCATTTAGCAGCTAAGAGCTTTTCATGGGTTTTAGCATTAACTAAGGCACACAAACGTACATCAATTGTACATCAATTTAGTAATTTTGATTTAGTTTCCAAGTTCAATTAGTTTTAAAAAAGGACCATTCTTTTAATTCGAATTTGGCATGCCAAATTTGAGAGCGTTTACCAAAGTCTTAATAGTTGAATATATACATTTCATGACAAAGTATGTTAAAGTGGAAATTTCAGATGAATCTCCTATTAGACAAACGGACATATTACATTATACCTTTTTAAAGTAGCATGGTTATCGCTCAAATTTCTTTTAGATCGTTGGATTAGGAATGGGTTTAGCAGCAACAAATAAATCTTTTGGCTTGGTAATGTAAAAACGGATATTAATATAGGATAGAGCGCCGCAAATCGCAAATAATCGGTTGGTTTCGTTTGTGGAAATGGATTTGAAAGCGTACCCTCCATTGTGTTCATCACCGATGTGATGCCTTGGTTGACCATGCCCGTCTGCATCATAATCATGCCCACATCTGCAAGATGGTTACGTTTTGGTATTCAGATAGACACTCGCTCATACACACAATCAAATGCATAAAGTTCAGTTAAATATAACAGGCCTGGAGATCTGGGATCGGATCGGGATTGGTTCAGAAACTTAAGCTCTAGGCACTACGAACTGCGAACTGCGCTTCACATATATATTCAGCTGCAACATTGGATCCCGATTCGCTGGTTTAAAGCCATAACGCAGGCAACGCAAACTCGGCAAACTTACTAACTACTTAAGAACATTTCCAGCTAAGTTGGGGTGTTTACAGATTAAGATTTAGATTCACAGAGTATAGGTAGAGATTGTTTAGGTGTTACGCTACATAGAAACCAAATACATAAACGTCGGTTATTCTCTGGTAACGATTTTTGTTAACTTCTTCCGCAACCTGATCTAATGTTATTTACACTTCTTCGCTTTGCAGCTACTCGTGGTTATATACAATCGCGTTAGAAATAGATATAAATGTAAATAGAGATCTGTGGGGGAGGTGAGTGCCACGCCAAGAACACAAATCAAAGGAAAAGTGTTAAGAGGATTCGTGAGGACGGCGCAGCATTTCAAGAACTTAGGTCTACCGGTAAGTATTAAAGATAATTTAATTTAATCATAAGTATTAGGAAGAGTATTTAAATTAGAGCTGGATGCTGCAAAAGTGAGTCAAAATTGATCGAAAATAGAGTATATTTTTTTATTAAACATTTTTTTTGTATGGTGATGGTGTGATAAAATGTAAATCGATTGTTGTGCTCATTTCCATGCACTTATTTTGATCTTGTATTATTCTCAACACATAAGTATAAAGTACAAAGATTAAGAGGGATTTACAGAGACAGAGAGAGCAAGAGCGAGGATTAGCGAGACAGACTTTTAAAAAAATTGTGCAGTTTCAGGTTTGGAATAAAAATTGATCATCAAAAAAGAGGGCTATCAATGGAGTGAGGTTTATAAAAAATAGAGATGGTATAGAGGTATTCATGCCGTTTTAATGAAATACAAAGCTGTTAATCAATTTGCAAAGAAGTCTTTAATGTTAAAAAACTTTTTAAAATAGAGAATTAATTTTTAAAATGTTAATATTTTCAGTGGCTTTTGCTATTTATATAATTATTGGTCGTTGGTCAAATGTCTTTTCAAAATCGCAGACTCTCCTTTGTATTTCACCGCTTTAGGCTGGCATATTACTCATACGCCCCGTAAAACACAAAAATCACTTGTAAACACAAAATCGTAGGTGTCAACTATCATGGTGGCTTTATCTAATGTCTTTATTTTGTGATGGTTAAAGGAAAAGCGAAAGTTTGGTTAACATTTCTTGCTGGTTGACTGTGTTGGCTGTAGTATGGTTGGTAATCAAAGAACTGGGGTTGCATATCGCACAAACATATTTACAAGGTCAATGATACGTTATGTTATTGTGTTTTTGCTTTTTTTCATCCTCGTCGAATGTATGGGAATATATAGTTAGTTAATCGTTATAGGTGTGGGTGTATTTAACTGTTACTTCGTGGGTTACAAAGAGGCGCATGTCAAAACAAACAGTGACCAAAATAGAACTGCACATGGGCAAGATAAACGGGCAGGACGGAATGGTTCGTTGTTCATATATATAATAGTATATGCTGGTGGGTGGTTATGATATCGGAAACGGTTTTATGGTCGGGGGCTGAGCACAAAGAGACGGTCCAATGTTTTGCTTTGCAATATCGTTTCAAAAACTAAAGACAAACAATCAAAATCAAAGGAAAAGTCTTGATTTTTTTGTGCTCTTGGTAAATGTGAGGTGCTGACAGGAAAATCGGTTGGAGTCTGGGTCTGGGAATCGGGACCTTCGCTTTGCTGTATTCAATGTACAAACTTAAGGTAATGGGGAATATGCAAAATGTACTCTATACAAAAGTTGGAATTGTAACTGGAATTGGTATTGGTATCGGATAAAACTTCAAAACTGAGAAGTGTTTGTGTGGTTTTCAAGTGTTTCGGTTTTTGTGGGATATTTGAGTGTGTTTTCTTTTAATTCTTGGGTTATTCGGTTTGTAGCTTGATTTACCTAAGTCATCGAATTTGCTCCTGGGCTGAACAGTCACTGTGGGACAAAGTTATGGCATTGGATTGTATTATTTGGTATTAAATTCGATTCGATTTCGGTTTAATTGGTTGTATTTGGTTATGTCACGTTGCAAGTGCGGCACACACAATCGCACACACACGTATGTGCGAGGGTTGTTCGAACAGTTGCAGCCATGACAATGGGTGTTGTTGATTCGGTTCGGTTATGCATAGTTATAGTTATAGTTATAGTTAGTTGTTGTGGTTGGTTGTTGCAGTTTTTGGTTTTGAATTCATTGAGAGCGAGGCCACACGCGCCAACACACATACATATTAAATATATAATAAAAAACATGGATATTTATGTATAGAAATATGTAAAAATATACGAATAGTTTCATGGTAGAGTGGTTAAATATTTAGATATTCATAAAGGTTAGAAAGATTGCGCCTTATACCTAGAATCTGCCTCAACATTCGCTAGGTCCTTCTTACAAACTAAAATCGAGTGGTTATTTCCTATCGTTTCTGTTTGGCTTACTCGACTCTGGCTGTCTTCGATACGTTCGATTCACAAACGAAACAACAAATCAAATACATATTGAAATCAAAACGGATAAGTTAAATTAAATTCATAGATACATAAGGACTCTAAGAGATAGTTTTGGGTACAATTTGGTACAAAGGTTTGCTTACAGTTTTTGCATTTGCATTTCTTGATCAGCGTCTCGTCCTTGATGTCCTCATGGCAGGCTTTGCAGTAGAACCAGGCACTGAGGAGGGGGATTGAATATATTGTAGTTTAATATGTTTATCATAAAATCAGGCTCTTCTGGTTGGCACTGATATGAGAATATGCATTTTTACGGAGCTTACAAAGTCTTAAGATATTTTATTATATGTAGGAAAGTCCTTATTTCGATGATGTGTTATATTTTGATTACAATGATAACCAGAATCGGCCTTGTAGACTTATTGGGTGACCTCTTACCGCTTCACCTCGTCGGCACTTTGTGCTATGAAGAAACCCTGGGTGTTGGCCTGGATTTTGGCACCCCTTGGGTTTATGGAAATCTTGCTGTCCGCCCCCTCCTCGGCGCCCTTGATCTCGATGGCCAGCAGCAGGAGCTTCAGCTTGGAGAAGCACAGTCTAAACGCGGGGAAGAGGGGAGCTAATCAGTCCCTGGTCGCCCGATCGCACTTCAACTTAGCCTAGATTTGCTTTACACGTAATTGAACCTAGTTTAGTATGCTACAAAGGTGTAGTCGAACTCTCTCAAAACAGGGCATGCTCTTTGTGTGAGTGTGTGTGTGTGAGTGGGTGTTTGAGTGTGTGTATGTGTCGTTGTATTGGTGAGTGCTCTGAAAGCGTACACTTAAAAAAATAAACAATCAAGACGATTGACAAGTCAAAAATAGGCATGCTAGGCAAAATGCTTAAGTATAGGTAAACTAGAAAAAATTATTTGGTTTTAAAAAATTTCTATACAGAAATCAAAACTACGGACAGTGAATCATCCGAGGTCCATTGCCAACTAGGGTACACTCTAAAAAACATTCTGCACATGCAATGAGTTCGGGGTCGGGGGTGGAGTCACAAGTGGAGCTGTACTGTGGTGGTTCTCTAAAATTATTTGCAGTGTACGTGTCTGACGCTCTACGAATCGCAGCGAGCTGAGTTCGGAGTTAGCAAGCGATTGTGGCGATCGGATGCGGATTATAGTTGCGATTACGGATACTATACGGTATACGATATTCGGTATACCATATACGGTTTCAGATGCAGTTTGAGCCAATCGAAATGAGTGTGGGTTTAATATACAGGTTGTTCAATGCGTTCGCCCTCGAAAGGTTAGTTCTCGGGTTCTGGATACTGGTGGCTAGTTTGGATCTTTCAGTGGCTATGGTTCTATAGTATGGGTTTTTTGAGTTTTTCGAGATATTTAGATGGCCAGAGGTGGGGGTGGGGAGAGGCGACAAACAGTTGTTTAGTTGTTGATTGTTATTATGAGGAAGGAGAGTAAATCAAACGGAATTGAATCAAGTTGGTAAATAATAGGAAAAAGAATTGGTAAACAAACTTATTTTGTACAATGCAAAAAGTTGTAGTAGTAGTAGTAGTAGAAGTAGTAGTATTTTTTATACAGTTTGCATATAATTTGGTTTTATTTTTTCTCTAATTTCTCATTTTTGAGTCTTACTCGCTGGCTTGTGGGAATGTCATGCCGGTAAATGAAGGTGATAGGGTTTCGGTGTACATCTCACACCCTGTACCTTGAAGATAATCATTTTGCCAGGCCTGTGTGTCTGGTGACTGAAAGTTAGAAAATGGTTTTGTTGTGGTTTGCATTTAGTAAGTTCGCTAAAGTAACTACGTGGCGCATTATCGGTTTGTTCTAAATTGTTTGTTTGTCTGTTTGGTTTTTGGTATTTGGTTTTGTGTGGCTGTGGCAGGTGGAGTAGACTAGCAGAGATTTTTGGGGGACAGGTCCTACGCGTACACAAATCCATAGCTGGGACTCTGGTAACTGGTAACTGGTAACTGGATTCTGGGTCATCTGGGTCTACGGCACACATTTCAACAGCTGGCGAGTATCGGTGCTAAGAGTGTGTATTGCTGTTTTTTTTGGATAGTGCTTGTTTCTGGGTCAGGCATTGCATACTCTGGCATTGGCTTTTGGCTTTGGCTTGGGCTTGGCATAGAAATACTGCTTCGATCTCGGGATTTTTTTCATTTTTTATTTTGGCATTCGGTCTGTACACTTTCTGGCGAACTGGCGAACTTTACAGCATTGAAGAAGGCACGAGCATTGGGGTGGCATCAAGACTCAACCGAACCGAACGTGTGTCAAATGAGCAGAAATCAAAAGGTCGAACTAAAACCATCAGGAACGGAAAAGAACCAACTCAAACTAAAATGCACGCTGCAAACTTAGAACTGTTACTGAGATACAGATAGATAGATAGATAGATTTAGATAGAGAGAGAGAGAGAGATATTCGGAGCGATTCGCTCACACAGATACCATACATTAGCGATTCGGTGTGTCTGTTTGTGTGTGTGGTGTTTGTTTGTCCTTAAATAAAGAGTCGGTTGAACCGGCTGGGCAGTTTTGAAGTTTGCTTTTGAAAATGAAGGATAAGAAACCATATTTTGTATTTGCAAACACTGAAGGCATTTTGAACACTTAGAACACTCAATTACACAAAGAATTTGCTTGAAACAACGACTAATTTTCACAGTGTACTGTTTGGCAGGTGTATTTTTGTGTTTGTGTGTGTGTGTCTGTTTCTTGTTTGGAAAATCAAAAGCTAAGTTCACTGGCAGGCACATTTACACGTTGCAACACTTAGATCGGTGTAAACGTGCCGGATATTCGATCAAAAAATAATTAAAAACAATCAACAAAAGAGAGATTTACAACGACGATCAGAACTGAGTGAAAACAAATAACAATGTGTTTACTTGTGGTGTATGTGAGAGTTGTGAGGTGTTCTTTCGGCCTACAGGAAACCCAATTGTGATTCTCTACTAAATATTTACTCCCGAATCACTATTGAGCTCCAGCTTGTAGGCCGAATATATCATATGTTGTTCATGGTGTACGATATTTTGTTTTTTTTTTTCGTTCAACGCTGCACGATTAACAAGTAGAATAGAGTAGGTAGTAGTAGATACGATATAGTATTTTAAAGTTTTTTTTTTCTGGTACGAGTATTACGATATAGCTTATGGTTGGAAAATTGGAAAACTGCCAGCTGCGTGACTTACTCAGTGGCCTGAGCAAATGGTATTCCAATAAATGTGGGACTCAATGTTTCAGTGTACATTTCCATGCCAGTGCCGCGCAGGTAATCATTTGTCCAAGACTGCATGTCTGGCGACTATGGGTTAGAGACGTAATTTAGAGACATTTGGATTGATAAATACGGTAGGTTAGAGGTACACCCCACATATTGCTTGCCCCCATGGGCGGAACATTGTCACGGATCTGTAATCTGTAAATCTGGAAAATATCTAACTTCCGGCCTGCTTTCACTGGGCGCCAGTAGTGTGAGTGTGTCTGGTATATCGTAGGTGAGTGGCCTGATCTCTGGGACTGCATCCCCACTTACCGTCTTGAACGATCTCATGGCGAACAGGTTGGCCATCATGGTCGAGAATCCGGGCGCCAAGCAACTCTGGGCAATGAAGCCCAGCTTCAGTTCGGCCAGGCAAATGACATCGTCGCCCTGTTTCCAGTCCCACGATGGTATGTTCAGCAAGTACGCCTGGGGATTGAAATAGGATTAATAAGAATAATTTCAAAAATAATAAAGCTATGAACATTAAGATGTTCACTTTTCAAATGGCTTAGATATAAATGTTCTTAGGAAATCATTGTATATAAATTCATTTTTAAAGGATTAGGTGTCCAAAATTAGGCAAACTCCTTAGTTCAAAATATATAGTTGCATACTTTTAGATACCTTAATAAATCACTTTAAAATCATAGTGATTCTATGATTCAGTAGAAAGTAATAAATACAACTGTTTACCGGTTTTGATCGACTCACCTTGTTATGGTACTGCATCAGCTGGATGATGACTCGAATGTCGTCGCTGTAGTTTTTGATCGAGATGACTCTCATGATGTTGGCAGCATCTTCTGCGTCGGGATCTTGGCAATATTTGTTAGCTAGCACGAGGCAGGCGTCGGCTTCATGTACCTGGATATTCAGGAATCGGGGGATAGGGAAGATCGAGATCGAGAATAACCGATTAGCACTGGATTGAAGTGATCAGCCGGTTGTTATGGTCAGACTATGTCTATGGGCATTTGATGTTTGTCTCATGTGAGTTAGTTTTGTTATGTTCTTGAACTGTTCAAAGTAGTTTGTTATGGTACAGTGATTGTAATTGTTACTGTTATTGTGAATATTTATTGCAGAGGTGTCACGTTTAGAGCATTGTCCACAATATAAACAATTAGTAAGCGGTTTGGTTTACACGCACATCGACTGGACAACTATGGTACGAGTATGAGTACTTAAAATGTCACAGGTGAGTGTTTGTTTTTATGGCTCGATCTGGCTGCGATCGAGACCGTATATTGTTATCTTGCATATACATTGCGTACGTAGTAGGGTTCATTAAGGTACGAGTATTATTCATTAGCAGTGCCCACGTGGGGCGGTTGGGGAGATAGTAAGCGGTTGTACAGTGGCTGGGTGGGTGGGTTGCTGGACACAGTCTTTCGGTTTCAACTCCAAACTAAGGACACATTAAGAAATCATAAGGCGAACGCTCGGTGCATGGCTGTGGGTGGCAACGGGTGGTTTTCGGGTGGGGTGTATATTACAAAGAACAAGTACACAGGGGAATCGGGGTGATCGGGTGTACGGAAATCAAATACCAAAGCCCCATACAACTGAAGAGCAACTTAAGTGGGCATTAGACAATAGATTAGCACTAGCTATGTACAAGCATCTGTATCCGATTATAGACATGCAGTCTGCTCGCATGCAAGAGATAAGCTTAGATACGGTGAAAATTAATAATCTATATCGCAACATCGCACTTTACAAGGCCAGGCGAAGGCTGCTCAAGACCGCCCGTTCAAGAGTTATCGATTAAGCTGATATATATACAAAATATACAGATTAAGGCATCTTGAACTGTATTTGTACACATTTATTCTGAATTTAATTTAAATTTCCTACCAAAATATTGAATGTATGTTCAAAGAGTCACATAAATCAAACATTTTCAAAAATTTCCAGTTTGGTGATTTCAATTATTTCCTACTTTTAATATTACAATCATCAAAATTAATAAATTAAAATATTTGTTTTGATTACTTAGTAACACTTAGAATGTTATTAAAAAAAGGAAACTTTTATGTGACTCTTATTAAGCAAATATTTCTCTATTTGACTTGCTTAAAAATTTGGATTAAACAAAATTATACAATTGAATCAAGCTTAACTTCTAAATAAATAGATTTACCTATTCAATACATCTTATCCTCGGTCAAAAATATTAATGCCCTTATTCCCTCAAAAAATGATTCGTGTCTTTTATAATCCATACTATACAGTTAACAATTAACTTAACAATTACAATTAAATACTTAGCACATACATTAATATGAAATTACATATACGTTAATAGTTGTTGGTAATGCGGCTTAAAATAAAGATAAATTAAAATTAATTTATTTTGTTTTTATTCCACAACAATTTAACATCAATTTACGGTGTTCCGTGTACTGCGAGTGTTTGTTTCGTGTATTGGCTTGCGATTCACAGTCTTTTTAGTTTTGTTAATGTTCGAATGGTTAGTTGAGTGCTGGGATCCGATGAACATGATGGTGTTGTACACTAAACTAAGTCCAGAAAAGGCATTATGATCGCATACTTTACAGACATTACACATACACACGTAAATACGTACATACATTTATAAATAGGCAGGTTGTAATTACATTTGAGCGTTCGTTACATAAATAAGTACGTAAGAAGTAGAAGTACGCTTATTCTGGGATTCGGTTAATACATAATGAAACCAAAGCTCACAGGTCGAGACGAAAATAGACACGGAAAGGAATAGGGTAAATGAACGGAACGAAAGCAAACGAACAAACAAACATATAGAACGGATAAAATGAAAATACATTTTTGTTTTACCTTAACCCTCTGCAGATCGATCGGATTCATAATGGTTCCTTGGAAGAACTCCACGGTGGTAAAATGACGTTTGAACAAACCCTCAAGTTCCAAATCGGGTGGTTTACTTTATAATTTTTCGTTTGAAATTGTTTGTTTTTTTTTTCATTTTGATTTATCGTGGTGGTTGTGGGAAAATAATACAAAGTTTTTAGAGTTTTCAATGATTCCAATGTACACAGAGTTTACGTAGATTGGATTGTATTCAAAGAAACAGAAGAATATCGTTGCATGTGTGTGGGTTGGTGTTCGAAACACAACAAACAATATACAGATAAATATATGATTGTGGTGCGATTTTCGGAGTCCGCAAATATGCAAATGAAAAAGAAGAAAGTAGAAACAATGCAGACAATTGTTGAAAGAAAATCTCCAAGCCGAAGGTGCAACAAAAATCGTGATTCATTAAAACTAAACTGAACTAAAATCGAAACTTTGTATTCTCCTTACTTACATTAGGTCTATGCTCTAGACAAAAACTCTTCTTAAATATCTAATTAACAGTACTTATCTAAGCTCTCAAGACTAAATAAGTTCTATGGGAGTATAAAAATTGTACGGATATATTACAAAGGGATTATATGAATAAAACTTTTGGTTACTACGATTTTAAAAATATAAACGATAATAAAAAGTGTAATATTTGTAAGCTTCAGCTCGATTTTGGATAAAAAGGAAATATGAAAAAATTCAGCTAAGAATGTCATTCCATTAAGCGGGGTAAAAATACTTTAAGCCAGGAAGAAAACGATAAGACAAACGGATAATGTGAAAGGGATTCTTAACTAAAATCTATCTAAAATTATGTAAACATCATTTATCACGAAGCTCTGAGAGGAAATTCAAAGAAAATGCTTTTCTCGAAAGCCTCATCAGCAGCAACCGGAAACCATTAATAATATTGCCATAATAAAGCTATAAAATTGCAATAAAAATAAAAATAATTGAATTGTTCAAGTTCAAAGTGAGAGCGAGCATAGATTTATGGCGTATATAAATAGAACGAGGAAGGGGGCGTGTCTTGGTTTTGATTGCTGTGAAAGGTCACCAGCGAAAAGTATTCAAACTTTTGTTTTCCGAATCGGAGGGCAAACAGAGTGAGTGCATCCTAGCTGTTGAACAACTAAGTTGTGGGCGTGTTTTTTGGCCACGGGCACAAAAACATTCACAGGGTATAAGTATGAGTTGCATGTAAGATTCGCAGTTGTTTTTCATGTTGTTGATTTTTTCAAACGTTTTCTCTTTGGCTGGGACACCTGATATAAGGGACTCGATTAAATCGTTTATCGTTATTTCTGCGTGTCTTTACTGGTTTCCATGTGTGTCTCTGTGTCTGTAGGTGTTCGTGTGTGTCTGTATCTGTGTCGGTGTCTGTGTTTGTGGCTTTGGGTGTGGTTGTGGGCGTGGATATGTCTTGGTGTGTGTTTGTGTACCTTGACTCGCTCCAGGTCGACTGCGTTCATCATAGTGCCCTGAAAAAAGGCCACTGTGGTATAGTGACGCTTCAGCAGTCCCTCTAGCTCCAGGTCAGGCTCTTTGCTATTTGGTTTATATTACATTACATGATATGGCATATATATAGTTGAGTTTAGGCATTAATAGTTACAAAGTGAACGAAAGAGGTATTTCGAAATCATAGAATAAAAATTTTCACTGACTGTGTGATTGCTAGTCGCTAGATTAATGCAAATACTTAAAATAGTGCCTTGAACTAACTTAACTGACTGGGAATTGGACTTCAAGCTATGGAGATAGCGGTCAGCAGCAGTTGTTTTGTATACTAATTATAGAGGTATTTATGTTTAAAGTTTGAATTACAACTTTTTAACGATCTTAAGTAAGTGCAAAAACCATTGCCTACTTTACAGGGCAGCCGCTGACCTCTAATCTCTTAATCTTTTTAACTGCTTAGTACTGCTCTAATTATTTCTGTTTCTGCTGATTTTATTTATTATAAACTCAATTGAAAACACATTTATCAAATAATAAGTCAAATAAACAACGACACAACAAATTAGCAATACGATTGTAAACAAGTTATTCTTCTGCTTAGAGGCTAAGTGGATTCTGGATGGACTTACCGATGGAGAAAGACCACTTCGACATCGACATCCTCCCGATCTTCGTGGAGAAAGTCCTTCAGGAAATGCGACACGGACTCGTATGTTATATGACCGCATACCACAATATGTCTTGTGGTTGTTGTGGGGGTGGGGGAAAGAAAAATAGATTAGTTCCTCGAATGGCATCAATTGAAACGATTAATGCAACAATTTGACTTAAAAGCTAGTGTGGAATGCACTGAAGCTCTGTACATGTGTGACGTATGTAAATGTGTTGAATGAAGTGTGTGCGTGTTGCAGTGTTTCAGTATTAGTGTGCGATTAAAGCGGAAAGAAAGAATATTGAATTTAGTTCAAGTCATTAAATCTTAAGCCGAATTATTGATCTCAGATTTAATCACATTCCATCGATCTGCCATGAAGCCAAGTCTATAATATATAGTACATATACTGTCAGTGTCTTTGTGTGTGAGTTTGAGTGCTTTGAATGTGTTCGAATGAGTGCATGTTCTTCGGTGAGGTTATAGATTCGAGTATATTCATTGTTTTGTATTTCTGTATATTTCTTTATATTGATTTATGCTTTGATCGGTTTGTATTATTTATCAACTGCTTGTCGTTGCCTTGTTATGGTTATCTTTATGGCTTGTCAGTATTATTTGGTGGTAAAGTATAATTACTTTGCATTTTCTTAGAAAACAAACATTTATCAAAATTATACAAAATACACGAACTCATAATAGGAACTAAAAAACTGAAATGATAAATGCAAAATGCATGAATTTAGTCTGCTACCCCAGGGGCTTGTACACAAATCAATCAATGGCAATAAATCATAAGACACAAAATGAGGTTCTTGTCGCCGCATTTTCGGCACTCTGCGACTGCAGTTCGCCAATCGAAATGATAAGTTTATAAACGATTATGGAAAATCAATATTTTTCTAGGTAAAGGCTTAGCTACGCACACCATTTCGGTAGTAATCAACTTACATGCATCAAGTAAAGCATCAAAAGTAGTCAGCAACTGGCCAACGCATTTGTTTTCTATATACACATTGTATAATACACTACTCTCATTCCAAGTATATTTACTTCTACAGGTGCTAGGTATACAATAGATTATTGGTTTGGGTATTTACTGTAGTCACAGTCATGCAATCAGGCAGTCAGGCAAACCGGGCAGGCATTCTTCCCATACCTAATAAAAAGTGAGTGTCAGTGCCACTACACATGCATACTTCTACGTTTTTTTTTCGAGTGTTGGATGTTAATGAGGTTGTGATGTTGTGAGATTGTGAGTGTGCGTTGAGGATCATGGAACTAATCACATAGTCCACGAATACTTACACCTAAGTGTCTACAAAGTCAAGAAGAAAGTCAACGTATAAAATCAATAGTCCGGAAAGACCGAAGTCCTTCGAAAAAATCCATATTTAAATTAATAAAGTGGGTCTTTTGTCAGTATAAATACTTCACAAAAAGTCAGTCGATTTTCCAACGGCACAATAACGACTAAAATTCGTCACGTCTTCTAGAAAAAATCTAAAACAATTTAATGATCGATGATTGTGATCTGTTTAATGTATCTTGTAGATCAAACCCGGATGCAAGGCTATACAAGTGACAACTCTTTTACCTCTACGGTGGCATTAAAAATTGTGCTCGACTAGGTCGCTAAAAAGAAAGAAGAACTTCAATTTGCATTTAACAAACGAACGAAATAAATGCACTACATTCGATTAGTTCTTGTGTTGCTGTTTTGTTTTCTTTTCATTGCTGCAGCTAAAGAAACGAATGGTGACATTTGGAATTAAGTTGATATTTTGTTTTTTTTTTCTTGAAATGATATAAATATAGAGTGAGAAGGTTTAACATTTGATGCCTGGCCACGCATTTTCATTGTTTTTGGTTTTTCATATAGAATTGCTGCTCAGAATGAGAAAACATAAGTAAATTCAATGCGCACAAATCTATCGATCAGAAATGTGCAATGAATGTGAGTGGGTTTCGAGGAAATCAAAAACTGTGGATAGGAGAGATCTTGAAAGAGAGAGACAGAGTTACAGAGAGACAGGAGATGTGTGTATGTAGAGATTTGGAAGGGCTCGGATACGGATACGATGGTGGAATCGGGTTCAGTTACGGATGGTACACTCAGAACTCTTAAACGAGCAATTATTACGGTCCTGATCGGAGGTCAAGGTCCCTAACAGGGGCCGCGTATCATAACAATTCATACAACGATGCAGGTCTCCTCAGCCTAGACCTCCTACCTGATCCTGATTTTGATTTGATCCTGATCCGAACAAGGTGGGCAAAGGAAATCGAATGAAACCGTCGAGCGCATCCATACACAACACTGAGTTTACGAGTTTACAACACTGAGTGGAGTGGAGTTACAGTTTCATCCGATTCGAATTGTATACTCTATGGGTCTGTGTGTGTAGATTATGGTTATTTATCCTTTATTGGTTGATCATACCGTTGTATTCGAATGTTCGTTGAAACAGAAGTTTGCAAAGAAGAGGAAATATCGAAATCATAACGGAAAAGAGTAGATGTGTGTAAATGTTTATAGATGTATCGCATATAGCATAGGGTATATAAAGATTGTCCAAGAACTACAACGGATAACTGATTGAAGGTTTGAAAGAGATATATATAGAGAGACAGAGAATAAGAATAAAATATGTGGGGAAGATATATGGGTTTTATTGATTGATAGGTTAAATTGATTCGCTTTACACACACATAGATGAATCCGTTTCTCAGATGACAGCTGCCTGTTGGTTTTTGTCAAGATGTCAAAGCCAGTTCTTAAGCTGTGTGTTCTAATATTGTACATTTCTAGACAAAAATATTGAGCAAATTGAAGTCTTCCGTGGAAATTGCTTGGTATTTACAAATTGCTGTCTGTACTTGGGAGAAAAAGTCTATAGAGAGTTCGACTCTATGCATGTGTGTGTGTACATTTTGAATTATATGGATTCTAACATTTACGTATACAATCGAATCAATATTATTATTATTATTATTATTGTATTTAGTATGCATTATTATCGTTCAATGTTAAATCGTTTAAATGGATATACATATACGCATGTATATTTATTTATGTATATAGATATATATATACGAGTTTTACGACTTCGATAGCAAGGACTATATAGACAATTACGATAATGTAACACAATAATAAACACCAATCACTGATTCACTTCAAGGGCTAATACAAATGCAAAACGAGGCTAGGATGATATGGCATACAGAAAAGAGACAAACTAAAGAATATACGCTTATTGAATTTCGATTATTGCCAATCATCAGCTCTGACTTCACACTCGCTTGGTCGACCTGCAAATTACACGTATGTATCCAATTCGTTTCTAGGTGAACCAAAGGGAAATAATACAGTATATACCCAAAAATAGAACACGATTAAGCCGCGTTTCGGAACTGAAGAAGAACGTGCAAATCAAACGAAAATATAGGAGCTAAAAGAATTTAGGTTCAAGATCAGGATGTACGAGTACGATATAGAGAGTAGAAAGTAGCAGAAGAGTAAGTTGATAATTTGGCGTTCAAATTCAGGATGTAGTATGGAAACTCACAACAAGATAGCATTTGGTAGTTAAGAGTACGCACATGATATAGTAGATACACTCAGAACAGTATTTTAAGTACGAAACAATTGATTGTATGTGGTACGATTCTCAAATACGATATCTGCAAAATGCCAATTCAAAGAACACAAAAATCAAAACTGGCAAATCAAAACGCAAATCGATGGGCGAAACGTAGGTAAACATAATGAAACTATATATATAACATAACCCTGAACAGCGCCCCATTTCCAAGGGGGTGACGTCCTAAGTTATGTTTTTGGGTACATATTACGTACTGAACTACGTAGACAGGTCTAGATCGAAAACGATAAGGAAATCAACTGAAATACAACCAACGCAAAATGAGTTGTTCGAGAACTAAAACATATACTTGTTGTTCTTTTTTCATATAAGCAATATGGGTATTTTAGTTAAAATTTTCTTGTTGATTTTTGCTTTTTTCAATTGTTGTGTGGGTGTATTTTTCCTGTGGCTGTTTCTTGTTTTGTCGTTGTTCTTGTGGCGGTGAGTGTTTGATCGATTTAATGTTTTGAATTTGGGCTGGGTGATTGATTGATTGATTGGCTGATTTAGATTGATGTCCTGGATAGTTGGAATGTACAAATGTGCTGTGTTGTCACTGTTGTTTATGTGTCGTCCCGAGCTTGCCAAGCGGTCCCACCGGGCGTATGAGTAATATATTGTATGTTCGCTTGAGTTGCTGATGATGATTATAGTGATTGGTGGCTTGGTTGGTTGGTTGGTTGGATTGGATTGGCCATGTTTGTGGTGGCTTTGTGTGGATGACTTGTGTTAGTCTGGTGTGTATCTATTGGGATTTTTTTTCGGTTTTTTTTTGTTGAATCAAAATCAAATTTCAGCTACTTTTCCACACTCGCAAAACGTTTGGCATGAATGAAGCGCAAACTAAAAGTAAATAGTCTCAATTGATATCATTTCATTTTGTTATTCGACTGCTTTTCGGCAGAAATTTCATTTTGATTTGGTGTTTACTTTTGGAAACATAAATACTCGTTGTTGGTTAGTTTTTAATTTGGGGGTGACTTTAGGTTGTTGTTGGCTTAAATTTATGATTGGTATTTTATTTTTGTGGTAGTAGTCTTATTGTAGTTGTTGTTGTAGTAGTTTTTTATATAATTTTTGGTTTAATCAGTTTGTTGATTAATTGTTTTTGATTGATTTTAAGAAAATTTGGTTTGTCTCACCTTCGCCCTTTTTCATTTTTTAATGTGCCCCCATATTTGGCTCTTGTTCCAATCAAGTCTATAATCTCAGGTATACAACTTGCAAAAATCGCCTGTTTACAGTATGAAAGATAATGATGACAGTGAAGTATTTTTGTTCTATTCGTTTTGGATTGTTGTTAAACTTAAATAAAAAGCATTACACAAATTTCGTTTGACACAAGACAGAGACTCAGAAAGTGGCCCGAAGGATCACAGAGAGGCACACAGATCAGATGGGTAGAGAGAAATAGAGAGTATGAGGGGGTTATATGGGGACGAAAGACTCGAAGAAGGACCCCTATATAGTAAGTACATGATATAAAGGCAGCCAAGTGGATCGATTCGGATATCTGATTGCTGTATCGCCGCCCTTGGTGGTTCTTGTTGTTCTAGCTGTTGTTGTGGCTTCGTTTAACCAGACCAGAAATTATTATAAGTATCTTCGACCGGAAACAAGGAAAATCAAAAGCACAGTAAATGAGATCAAATAAACAGAAGGTATGTAACAAATTGATCTTATTATCTTCATAAATCGATAGGCCGCTTCAACGGCTTGCAGCTAGTTTCTTATGGCTCTAATGGTTTCTTGGGGTTACGTGTTGTGTGGTTAGATTACGAAATATACATATAGTAAACATATTCAAAGACTATGTGAAGAGATAACGCCTATTTATAACTCAGTGCCAAGTACACACGCACACACATTGACTTTCAACTTCATCTTTGTGGTGGGTTTCAGTTCCTAAACTTAACTACGACTACTAAAATCGGGTGATTCTAACAGACTAAACCGCACATATGTGTGTGAGTGTTGGATATCGTATCGGGTGGGAATCGGTTCGGTACGGGAAAGAGTTACAGATAATGTGGAGACATGATGCTGATACTGAATACGATCAAAGGATACTGCAACTCTTTACTGATAACAAGTATACAAATATCAATTTTTATCTAAGTGATGATCATCGTAAAAACATATTACAGCGACCAAAAGACGCCGGTTTCGTACTGGTTTCGTTTCGTTTTTTAGTTTTAGTTTTATTTTTATGCGTGGCTGCGGCATACAAAGTAGGTGCAAGCAAATTAACGACTTTGAAATATAGATGATTAGATTAGGTAAGGTGTGGAATTAGTTTCGTATTGGTATGGTAAATAAATTACAAGTAATCGATATAGTATGTTGGATAAGTTGGAATTGCAAAAATTGTAACTACGGCAACTTTATTTATGTATGTATCGCATATAGGAACAAGTGGAAAACATATGAAATCATATCTGAAAATCAAAACTCTATGCGGGAACCAAAGCAGCAACTGGGTGTAAGTGTATTTCAACCGAAAAAAGGAAATAGAATGAAACCAACGCACAAACGAATTTAACAGTTTAACAAAAATGCATTTCGATAACTTAGGGAGAAGCCAGTAAAAATAATTGGTTTATATTCTTACATATGTATGTAATATTGATTCAGCGCTAGTTTTGGAGCTTAACACTTCGAACTTAAAAACAATGACGCAGCTGAAGTTGCATAAAAACACGCAATATGGCTCTGGTCTATATGTACGGTAATAATCAAAATCCAAAGACATAACTAAACGGAAATCAAAGGCGAACTCAAAAATTACACATTTCAAATACAGCGAGTCTAGCCCTTCTCAACTCTAACTCGACGGACTTCAAAATCGCCTGGGGAACACTTTCAAATACTTCTGTAAATTATTTTTTTCAAAATGTATGGTATAGTGATAATTGAGTATTGAATGAATAGGTTGTTTTGTTTGTTTGTTTTGTTGACTACCAAGAGTTTGAAATGTGCATGCTTCAAATCGAACACAACAAATGCAGGAGCCCATCAAGATAGCTTTGATTAATTAGCAAAACGATTCTTTTTTAATTTACATTAAGATTAGTGAGAAAAACGATGGAAAACGGCCCACAGATTTCGAAATTTAGACGACAAAAAGTGTTGCATACCCACAGGCACCAAAAAGAAAACCATGTTTTCCAACCCCAATTCAATGGTTTTGGGCGAAATTTCTTTGATGTTTTAAGCGGTTTATGAACTTTAACAAATTTTCTCTCTAGCTAACAATAAGCCTAATGAAACGCACGCAAAAATGAAGCCATAGTTTCAAACAATAAGTATAATGTGTGTAAACGACAACGAGAATTACAGAAGGATTTGACAAGTAAATTACATAAATTATATCTCATAAGGGATCACCTTTACTCCCTTGATTTAGTGTAATTTTTGCCATTATTCTTCGAATGTGTTTGCTTTTTTATTTTGTTGGTAAACTAAATACAGACACATGCCGCCAAGAAACCAATGCCTTTCAAGTCCTAATTGTTTTATTCATTTAATTTGTATTCCTTTGGTTTAGCTTTATGAAAATAACAAATCAAGGTAAATACTTTATTTAATTTGATCGCAAACCCTGGCAAACAGTTCTCTTTTTGCTCATCTGTTGCCCGTCAGAGTTTGGTATTTTTATGCAATTCCAGGTGACGTCGAAAAAATGTTCAAGAATAATGTGAAAAGTAACAAACAAATAGAAAATAATAAAAAAAAGCTGTTGGTTCATTGACTGAAGTTAGATAAAGAAAATTTTGAAATACAAATAGAAGTCAAGATTCTTCGATTGCTGCGGTGTTTTTGGTATTTGTTTGCTTTTATAATCATTTCTTGTTTATCTTATTATTTTCGTGTTGTATAGTTTTGGTATTTTCTCTTAGCGGTACAGCCAGCAACGTGTTCGTGTACCTTTTTCTAGGATCCTTGCTATATGTTCCACCATATTTGCTTCTTTGGGCGGCCAGTTCAGTGATTTCTGGTATCCAACTAGCGAAAACGGCCTAAATTCAACAACACACATACACATTTAGATTGATTGACAGGTGCCAAAAGAGGATTCAGTTCAGTTTTTCAGTATTGCTGTATTTTTTTATCGGTTGGTATTTAATTTGTTGGTTCTGTTCTGTTGGGCTAACAAATTTCTGGTGTGTGTTAGTGTGTGTGGTTTCAAAAAAGAAATGGACAAAATTATTATGCGTACAATTGTTTGGGAACATATCAACGACGACGTTGACGCTGACGACGAAGAACAGTGCAGAATGGGAACCGCTTGATCCGCAATTGACTCATACTTATATTCATATCCATATCCATACTCACTCCAGGCACTCACAACGCATTCACTCATGTATTTACACCGATTGACGCACTCATTACGGCACTCACTCCATCAGATACAGATACTTTAAGGCTAATTGTACATTACTTTACACGATTTATCGCCACGATTTCTCGTTCGCTTGTCGTCAACGGCATCTATTTACTGTACTCTTACTTGGATACATCTAATAATTTACATTTGTAGTTTACAATACACGATAGTGCTGGGGCCTAGACAGAGACAAGTTTAGGAGTCAAGATGTTCGTGGAGAGCAAGATCCCTCTTAAGTTCATCTGGAAATCTTATTGGTAGTGCGCTAGTTATTACGCTATTGAAATACCGTACTTTGTACAATCCTAGTTACGTTTTACTATGAGTAGTTAGGGATAGTTACGCCTCCGAATCTTTGGATTCAATAAGTTAGTAGGGTGATGAGAAAGCAAAACTTCGGTCCACCGAATTGCTAAGGCAATCCCATTATCAGAATCGAAATTGGGAAATGCCTTTTGGGTGAACTTCACTATATATATAAATGGAACAGCGAGACTGACAAATGTAGTTATATATTTAATAGGAATAAAAAGGAAATATGAATTGAAAAATACATATTGCAAAATATGTGGCTGGAGTTTGCTCTCTTCAAAAATTTACGAATTGAATTACGTGTCATGACTTTGGATAATTTAAATAATTTTATCAATGCGTGACCGATGCTATTTTAGGGACATGTGTTGTAAATGTTTATAAGTGGGGGCTCTATAAATCTGTGTGGGATGTGGTACAACAATGCGCCTAAATAGTTTGCACAAATGCTTTAGGATATCGAAATAAATATATATGAACCTTGAACTATTGCAAATTGATAAACGCATATCTTGTATCATAACTCTGGTGTTAATTCGAAACGTTTAAAGCATGGCAAAGTATAAGTGTAAAACGATAATTAATATCTTGAATAAAAATGTTTATTCTGGAGACAAAATTCAAAAGAAAAATGGGCCAAAATGAACTCACGCTTGCCTACAAAGTGATTTATATGATAGACATTGCCAAAGAGTTCAATAAAAATGTTTAACAAAACGAAATAAATCAAGAAAAACGCAAGTACCAAGGAAAATAAACAAATAAAACTGGAAAACAAAACCTAAGTAAATGGAACATTAAAATGTTTAATGACTTGTACAAATAGATCAATGTGTGTTCGAATCTGCTAAATTGTCTCTGACTGCGAGGCAACAAAAATGGTTTAAGGTAGAATAAATAAAGACAAAAACCAAGTACAAAAGTAATGATAAAATTGTACTTTACTTTTATTACTTGTTTGATGATTTATCAAATGTCATATATATATATCTGTTTCGGGTTTTGAAATACTTATTTATCAAGGAACAAAATAGTTAAAAACGGACGACTTAAGAGTCGGCTGAACTACTTTTTGATGCGGGTAAGTCAACTGTATATGCGATCATAGAGATACAATGAAATTAGGGAAACAAAGTGAAAGGGTAACAGACTAATTAATTTATCGACTTCAATCAATATTAAGAATTAGTGATTTTTCTAATTGGAGTTTCACTTTACCCTAGATGGGTTCAAAATACTAAAATGTGTGTTCTTTACAAAAGTTTTCATTTGTACTTCAACCGAACCTAGCTCTTGGGATTTAATTTTATAGAACTGTGTTGCAAATTCTTCAAGATAATAGCCCTCAACAATCGTAATTCCTCACTTAATGCATTTAACTATGCTGATTAGTTTTATAAATATTTTCATGTTATACTTTTAAGTTTATTTCGATTTATAATTTTTAGTTGATTATTTTTAGAATGTAGCTTTGTGTTTTTCACATCGAATGCGTTTATAATGTTTTTTTTTCGGGTTTTATTATGGTTTTTATAGACTACCTCTTTCCGTGTTCTCTTTTCAGTTCACCGCCATACTTATTGCCACTACCGACGAGTTCAATTATCTCCGGTATACTGCTGGCAAACATTGCCTAAAATATTCCATTGTACACGAAATTAACAAAAATCAATTCAGCAAAAATATATATACTGGTTAGGAGATATTAAGTGATTGTGTCTTAAGCTTAGTCTACGTAGTTGTTATAATTATGTTTCGATTACTTGCACTCGGTCAAAAAAGAAAAATCGGAAACGCAGAAGGCTGTTTTAATGGGTTCGAAGTCAGGCCGGGACATTCACACCCAAAGGATATCTAGACCTAAAAGCGATTTGGGTTCGGTTTGCTCTGGTCCATTGGTTACACAAATATGCGGCAGCCAGCATTAAAGCATGCAAGAACATTAACTTTTGAATATAACATGGATGTATTCGTAAAGTTCGTGCCCTAACCGACAGATCCCTAGAAAAGTCCTGACTTTTGGCTGTGTGTGGTGGGTATTTCTGGTGTATTTGGTGTCTACAAATCTTCCATTACAAAAACCAAAGCATATCGAAAGTTTCAACTCAAAAGCATGCATAAGTATCGATTATGGGAAAAAGTATTGAATGGGGCTGCGTGAACGTATGAATCGAGTGCCCCCAGCTGTATATACGACATCTTGTGGATATCGAATGGATATATTGAGTAGATATATCCGGGCGTGTGTGAGAGTGTTTGTGTTAGAGGTCGGAAAAAGAAAACGCGTTAAGCTCGGGTGATGAGTTAAGCTAACGAAACTTTGGGAGGATAAACGCAAATACGAAACTCAGCCACAAGGCCTCAAATAAAGTTCCATAATTCAAAACTTGTGCAGCGATATTAAGTCGTTCTATGTATTTACATAACGTGGCATGTACATAGTAGAAATGCAATTAACAAATGTATTGAGTATTAAGTCTATAGTTACGTAAGAGAGAGGTCAAAGGGCAACGGGGTCAACGCATGGTTACTCTATGGTTACGGCTAAGAGATTTCGAATTCAGTATCGATTATAGAGTATAGAGTTTCGAGAGTGCTACACTCTGACTAGTACTGGTACTGATACTGATACTGAAACTGATACTGATACTGATACTGGTCTTGCTTTGGCTACTCAACTATGGTTTCTGAGCACAACTGTACTAGTAAGTAGTAGATTAGGCGGCAACCAAAACTTAAATCATTCACACACTTCAGCACTTCCAACCCCGCATTGGCCGGGCCTAAACTCAATGGGCATCGAGGCGGACAGAGATAGGAGAGAGAAACATTGGCTACATCTGGGTAATATATCGTATACATACGTACTCGGTTAGAACTAAAAGAAGGCTTAGACTTATCAGTATGTCTGCTGTGTGTGTTCAGACGGGTAGTTTGTTTTTCTTTTTCTTATTAAATTGTGTTTTTATTTTATTTTCTGCACTTGTGCATTTTGCTTTGCGAACTTACCAAGCCGACGAGCAGAAAGAACACGAGAAATGTTCTTCCCAGGACAGTCTCACAGTAAACGTCACCATATCCTACCGTTGACATGGTCACAATTAGGAAATAGACACAGGTCCAATACGATAAACGATGAGCATTATTAAAATCCAGCGGATCGCCAGAGTTCTCCAGCTAAATTTTAAGTAAATGCAAATGCAATTATCAGCCGCATCAGTGGATCAGGTCATCTAAAGTCCTTTCGATGGGACACTCCATAAACACATCGATACAGATATAGTACATATATGGTGTGGGGCATCGAAAGTGCCTGGTTTTGGGGCTCTGTAACAGGCTGCAACGCGGCGTATACGTAATATTCGTACTGGCTTCTTGCACACACCGCAAACCCGCCACAGAGTCACCCACACACGGGCACAACCGATCCCTATGTGTTTGTATGTGTGTCGAGTGTTTAAGTGTGAGTGTGGGTGTGTGTTTCTACATACCAGATGTATAATGCCCGCTGCTGTTAACCACACGGATATAAAAATTGATACTAGTTGAGCCAAGCGTATGGAGCTCGATGTTTTTAGTACGTTTAAATATTGTAAAATATCTGGAACAGTCATGAGACGTAGCGCTCGAAGAAATCGAAGACCTGTTCACGATAATACACAAGGTATATTCACAACTGCTCTTACAGGCGGATGTTTCATGTAGAGTAAGGCACATTGCATGCATACAAATCGATCAGGACACTTTGTAGGTCTTCATGTGTGGCTGTTACTGTATTCTGTATATTATTGAGGCTATGTGTGTGTGTGTGTGTGTGATATAGGGATATATCAATCTTGATCAGCACCGATTTGTATGCATATAACATTTTTGGAATTTCATTATGATAGGATAATTTAATAGGGTTTGTTTCGCTTACCGATCCATGTTCGATCTAAATATATTGATACGAAGGACGGGGGTATTGTAAAATAATCTACAAAACTGTACATTTCTAACATAAACCAAAGCTTATCGGACGCCGCTATGAACTGTAAGGAGATTGTCAGATTGAAAGAACAAAAGAACAAAAGAATGTTTAAGAATTTATCGCATAAACCAAAAGATCAAATAATCATCATCGCTCCAACCAATTGATTCAAATAATTGTTAAATCAACTCAGTGTGTGCGCTGGTGTGGTTAGTATGTCAGTGTCTGTGTCTGTCTGTCTGTTTGGCCGTCGGCAACTTACTCGTATAAAAAAGTAAACCATAAAAAATATATTGAATGCGAGATCGATCTGTTGAGTAATGTTGTTACTCCACTTTTGGCATCTTTCGACTTCTTCGCTAGATGCATCAACAAAGTATATGATGAGGGATGCAATGCTGAGTATAAATACGAGTACGACCTGGAAGGAGAAGGGGGAAATACATGAGTAAAATAAATATTATCTATAATAACAGCTTGAGTTTAATTTTGTAAATTGGTAAATGCCTCTTTAAACAATTTTTAATATATTTCAGAACAAAGAACTCATTTAACATCATGCCAGGCATAAGTTATTCTGCCGTAGAGGACATGAAGTTCATTTCATAACTCATAAATTCATTGGCTGTTATGAAATAAACCCACTCACAACAGCCTTCCAAATATGAACAGCTGCTACATTTCTGTTTCATAAATCACGGCCTTGTCAGATGACAACCGCATTCGAACGCTCCATTGAACTTGCGAACCCCCCACTACCCAAAAGAAGGAAATTGGAAAAGCGAAAGGAAAAGGCAGGCCGAAGGAAAAGTATAATCGGAAATGGTCCTTTCTCGAGGGGGGTTAAAAAGAGGGGAAACCACAGTAATGTGCATTTTTAATTGCACACTTTGGCACAGGCCACGGACTCCGTTTCTCACGGATCATTTGATTCATGGCGAAAAACGAGGACGTCCGGCCTGAAAATGCACGGCTGCTGGGGCAATTAGTCGGGGCACCCCGTTGATAAATCTGCGGCAGTCATGAAAGTTTTACAAGGTAATTTCGGAGGAAGTGCATCCGAGGAGGAGAAGGAGGAGGATTCGGTTAAATGTCAGGGCTGCCTGCCAACAACCATTTTTATAGGGGCCAATCGAGGTAGTTCAACTTCAGCCGGCTGCACTTTACATATATTATATGGTTCTGGTTCTGGTTCTGTTTCCGTACTTAATGCCAATCTAATTGTAATTGTTGGTACTATCGTTTCGCAATTACGTGGATAATCGAAAGCGAAGAGCCCCCCAGAAGAGAGCGAAAAACTAAATTTGGCACGGAATGGCACGCAAGCTATTTACTTAGGGTCATAAATTGAAAGTCTTGGCCCGGGCTGATTACTCATTATTCTTGCTCTGCGGCTTTTTCTTGGCATGCAAATTACACACACCAGAGCACAAACTCACAAGCAGTCAGCAGTCTCCTTAGAAAGTTGTTAGTTGCGCAATAAAGTTTTTGGCAGCACAAAAACTTTGCTAATATCAGAAACCAGACAAGAATTTCCAAGAAAAGTGGCCAAGAGTTTATGCTACGTCTCTGGGATTGCGAATACGTCATGTGGTGTCAGTAGGACTGACATTTTCATTAGCCGTCCTGATCCCCAAGAAACCGAAAAGGGAAACCTAATGAAAGCCCACACCCCCATGGACATCTGACGTCACGGATGCGAGGTAATAAATGCAGTATCCAATATGGTGACAACTTCTCCTCTGACGTCTTCACTTTTAAAGACACCACCTCCACCAACCCGACCCGATGAACTTGTTATTCACGATGGCCGGGAAGCGTGAAAACTGGGTCAATCACTCAGAGCAGCTGAGTTCCGAGTTCCCCTCGCAAAAGAGAAAAGCACTTAAGCCCTGGCCGCCATCAAATTGCATCAGCGCGAACTTGGAATCTGGGTCACGAAGTGGGAAAACACGTGTCCCACTCATAACATTTTCAATTCGATTTGCTCGATTTGTGGCCCTCTGCAAACAGCTCCGATGCGATTTGTTCTGGCCATAACGCTGCGAATACAGCAATCAATTTGAGAGCCAACCCACTGGCGGCAGTTTAATGGCCTCAACTGCACGGAGAAAAATAATCTCCACTGATGACAGATGGGCTATTCTGTTTAAAATCATGTTGAGATATTTTTGTAGCTTTAATTGTTGTGTAACTTTGGATATATTGAGCCTCTTACATATTCTTAGCCATTTTACTTTTAATTATTCAAAAACATCTTGTTCCTGGATAACTTTTGGCTTATAATGGGTTATACAAATCAGATTAAAATGTTTACTATTTGTGTTTGCGTGCAGCACTCTAAAATGTCATACTTTCCCAGCTGGTTTATTTATTTATTTTTCATATTTTCCAGCACTCACATCTGTGGCGTGACCGAGTGCAATCGGATGTGGGTGTTGGGGAGGTAAATGCTGGGATTTAAGCTCATGCAGACGACTTCCGCATTGAAGTCGCAACGCGAATTCCAAAGCCAATTAGCGCCTGCAGCAGGGCTTCAATCCGATTAGAGTTGAACGGAAAGTTCAATAAAATCGAAGCGAAAAAATCATATAACAAACTGGAACATTTCGGTGAAAGTGAAGAAAAAAACGAGAAAAAAAGAAGAAGGAAGAAACAGCAGGCACGAATTGTGTAATATCTAAATGGCAAGCCATTCATTTTGCCAGCCACAATAACAACGCCCAACGACGAGGATAAACAACAAAACAGCACACGGAAAAGCCAAAAAAGGGCGCCACACGAATCGGACGAAAGGACTTTTCCGAAAACAGCTGCAGTCTAGTACAAAGGGAAAGGAAATTCGACGCTGTCTGCCAAACAGCAAAGCCAATTGCCTGCCAAAGCCTGGCACACAACTACAAATGTGTGGGGCTACTAGGCCTGGTAATAAACATTCACAATCTGCCACCCACTCCGGCCCACTCCAATCCGGGGTGAAAGTGGAAATGTGCGCGCTGTTTCATCGATTTTCCTACTGGTAGCATTTCCCTTTTAAGCGCCTTCTATCCTGGCATTTGCCATATTATTCACTGTTATTTGTTGTGGTTCCTTGGGCACCCGCGCTCCGAAAGCATATGCATATATACATCATTTCTCGAGGCCCGTTTCCCGTTATTAGCTGAAAGACCCTCCGTCGGAGGAAGACGGCGAAACTATCGATAAATGTGCCAGACACATGGGGAACGAACCGCTCAGCGGGTGTCCGGAAAATGGGAAAACGGGCAAAAACGGAGGGCGGTGGGTTCTACATTTGAGTAGAATGGTTCATGCTACATGGTAATAGTCGTTCCCCACCGCTGTGCAATTGTGTGCCAGCCGACAAAGGGGCCAGCATTGAACTGACATGAGGGGATAGTGCGTAGTCCAAGGATGGATGCTCCACACTTGACCCCTTGCAATCGGCCAGAGCTTGTCAGGTTGCGGGACAGGCGGTGTCCTTGACTGCCGAAGATTGCTATTCGCCCCAAGGCTTACAAACAGGCAATCAAACTTTACTTGTCACCAAGATAATCGCACAAATAGGAAATATGTTCATGCTTCCGGAATAAAATGTAAGAAGTTGTAAGGATCTACAGAGGTTTTTGGGGACGGCTATTATATAATCTATGTATTATAAAAAATATATGTAATTGCAATACAAATGATAGTTTAGGAATTATTGCTTATGAAGGATTATAATAAATATTATAATAATATCCATTTCCATGTGTAGTTTAAAAAGTGTATCACCCTTAAGTATACTATGCAATAGAATCTATTTATTCATTTCAATGTTAACAAATTTTTTAATGTTCACGTCATTGATACAAAATTATTATCGAAGCTACGTTTTCCCAATATACCAAGAGGTTTTTTACATAAATTGAAATATCTCCTAAGAACTCTCCCAGACAAAGGCAAATATTCAGCCGATAAACTCGCACCCAAAGTGTCGGCTACATCAAATCAAGAAATGCTATCGAGGGCATTTACCACAATGCCCAATAAGACCCACTAAATAGCCCCTGAGCCTGCTTGAGTAATTAACTAAGGCAGGTTAATGGATGGGCGGTGCGCCATGACGTATGCGTAATATTTGGACAAACAACCGATTTCTATCGGTCGGTGGCGAGGCAAGGGAATGGGAGGGCTAACCACGGAACCATTGAAGTTAATTCCTACGCAGGCCGGCTGTAATTGAAAAGGCCCCCGAAATCCTCCCACCGCCATGTCAATTTGTGCTCATGTATTTATTGTACATGGAAATGGCACATTTACTTGGCTGCTTCCGCTGTTGACACGAAATGGTTCCCCCGAATTCGGCATTTGCAAACAAATTATACACGCAAATGGCAGCCAATGGCAGTCAAGGGGTCGAGTGTGGCTCCAAACTATTTCAAATGCAAGACGATGGTACTTTCGCCAGCTGCATGGATGTCCATGGGCAAGGACACGTCAACGTTGTTTTGCTATGGAAAACCATATATCCAGTTGATCTCTGAATAATTCAGTGGGTTTGGCAGGCCAAGAGATGGCACTCGAAGAAATCAGTATTTAATTGAAGAAGAGATGGTTTTGTTTACTAAAACTTGTTCAAAATGAAGACTACTAATGGGTTATGTAACCAAAAGAAAAACAAATCTAATTCATTTAATTATTTTTAATTTAAAAAAAAATACTAAACAAAACTTTTAGTATTTTTAGATTAATTTAAAGAAAATTTTTTAAGAACTAATTTAATTCTTTCCAACAAGGATGTTTTCTTTCGATTTTACATTAAATCAATAATATTTTTTCCCAGTGCATCGATATGACCATATGGACGGTCAAAGAAAACGATTTTCCGACCCAAACAAAAGGAATTCATAAATGATAAATGGCCGTTGGCCGGCCCTAGAAGTACTCACCAAAATTCGACCAGTTGTTGTTTGACCCGAGATAAGCTCTCCAGCCCAGTCTTTTGCTTCTGTCATAAAGGTGCCCTCGAACTCCTGTTTGTTGCGGGAGGCCTTCTGCTCCTTCTGCTTGGGGTCGTTGGGCCCCAGGTCCGGCTCCTTGCGGCAGCAGACGAACGCGAAGGCTCGCCATAGTAGCACCACGAGCAGGCCAGCAAGGAATGTAAAGATGCTGGACAGCAGAAAGCACCAGTACTTGCGCACCTTGAGACAATCATCGGCATCGAATGGTGAATCTGTTGGATCGTCGGCCAATGATTCGACAGTGCTTTGATCACACCCCGACATCCCCTGCAATATGCAATATAATGGTATGGGAAACAATTAGGCTCCGTTGGCTGGCAATTAGCTAACTAAATTTAGCATAAATCAATACGATAACTATATTTGGCGGAAACATTGTTTACGTCATACACTTGACATTTAGAATCAACGAAATGCTTTCTATATGGAAGCACTCGGGCGCAATCCTATGGTACATATACAATATATGATATATATATATTTCTCAACTTGGCGACGCTGGCGAATGTAAACAAAATGTGCCTGGCCAAGGGTGCGCGAAATGAAATGAGTTCATAAATAAATGTCTTTAGTTTGTTTAGCCGAAAAAAGTTTATATTTGAACACAAGAAAAAGAAAGCCGAAAATGCTGACATTTTACAATATTGTGTAATAAAATATGCAGTTCCTGGAGGTGCACTTTAAACGTTTCTTTTTCAGTTTTATAAGGACCTAAAATGTTATAGGTATTAAATGGTTGGGTTGATAATATTTTAAATACATACATGATATGGAAAACTCTCAAAACAATATAACAAAACACTACAATATGATTTTAGTACATTCAAAAAACAAGTAACTTTTTCAAGAACTACTCTTTTTTTAATTTACAAACTGATCACAAAACAGATCATGGTTATTTCCTCGTTTAGATTTAAAGTTCCATTATTTTAGATACTTTTGTACAACTTTCAATTGAACCTTAAAACCTTTAAACAGATCCTAACATATTATACTCTTTATAGTATTTTAAATATCACCAAAGTTTCTAGGGATAGTTCTCCCGGTGCATGTGTATATAGTGCATTCTATGTGCAATCCTCCTTACATTTGTCAATGTGGTGGTGAAATTGGTGCCGATCAAACCGCTTGCCATTTTGGCTGTTTACATTGCGACACTGGCACAGAAACGCTGTCGAATTAATATTGCCGCGATATTCGGATGGCGTTCAAGTGCAGGCGAGTACCAGAGAATAGAAGACACTCTGGGCAAACCTGACAAACCAAAATCCGAAAGCTGAACGCCAAAAGTCTCAGCCTCACAATGCGAAACGGAACGAAAACTTGGCCCGCCTTTTATAAATAGCATCAAACAAATCTGTTATTTTTAAAGTGATCTCCTCCGACACACGCAGAGCGACACGAGCGGCGACAAAAGTGCTCATAACACTGGGCAAAGGCCGTCTACACTATACACCGCTGCGCTCCGATCCGTAGAACCGTATATCGTGTACCGTATATACATATAACCGATCTACCCACTTTTCGGGTGATAGCCTGCAAACACTTTGCGGGATTTATGGGACACAACTCTCAGCCAGAGGCCAACGCACTCACTCGGTGAATCACTGCACTGCATACGCATGTGAATTTGCAATTTGTTCGGATTTTGGGGGGATGGGAATGGGGAATATATAGGTGTGTGTATGGGGAAGGCGAATATATTATTATATATGGCGGATGTCACACACGACGCGGCACGCACGCGAATCGAGTCGAGGCGAGCTGAACAAAAAGGAGGCACCGAGCGAACCGCACAACTGGCGTCCACCAACTGAACGAGCCGTTTTCCAATTGCCCCGCCATCGGGACGGTTTCGACGATTACGAAGAGCCCGCTTCTATCTATGTATATCCCCCGGGGGGCTTGAACTCTCCCACTCTCTCTCTCTACGGCTCACCCACTCTCCGGTCATCTCTCTCGCTCTCCGGCGGACCGCGGCTATGTGGCTGACCGCGAAAAGTGTCAGGACGGGCGACAAACTTGAATTTAATTAAAAGGCGGACCAAAGACAAGGCGAATTCAATTGGGTATTGGAATAAAGAGGATATACCCTACAGACTCTAGGGGTAAACATGAATGTTGAGTGGGTAAAGGACTTTAAGGATTTGGTAAAAACCATTAATTGCTGTTTCTATTACAACAAACTTATCCGTTCTTGGGGTTCCGTACATTTTAGTTTTATGGAGTTCTTAAATGAAATGTTGAATGAATTGAATGATTGTTGAATAGAATTTTAATAGTTGTAGTTAAGGGGTTGTAGGAATTATGTTGCCTAAATGGCATACAATGAAAAATACAGACATTTTTATAAAGTTCATTTTAATTGTTAAATTTACGAATTTAAATAATATAAATTTTTATATAAATATATATATATTATAAATATTTTTATAATCCTAAGAAAAAAGGGTAAATTTTTGAATTATATGTAGATATATATTTTAATAATCCTAAGAACAAAGGGTCAGTCATTCATCAGTAATAAATATAAATATAATTTAAGCTTTCGAAATTTACAAATGCTTTTTTATTATTTAATGTGGAAAAGTTTGAATTGGGACTGATGCAAATTTTGGTAATACCCTTGGTAAGGGCAGCCAGCATATTATAGAACGCTTTGCGTGTGTGTGTTGCCTACAATGAATTATTGTTACAACAAGAACAACGGCAGGCCGAATATAAATAAATAAATTATGAGTTCGCTTCTATACGTTTTTGTTTTGTCTCTCGTTTTTGTGTTCTGCGCCTATACACACACTTTTTGCATTCCTTTTTGTGACCCCACGGACCCCGGGCAACACTCGTCCCCAAAAGGTGGGTGGGTGGTGGGTCAAATGGGTGGCCCATGGTGGGTGGTTAGAAAGGGGCCCTCAGGTTAACGTGAACGTTAACGTTACTGCTATTGCCATGGCTATTCCTATTGCCACTGCCACAGTTAACTCGGGCGAGTCACGCCACGCCGCCAGTTAGCTGTCGTTTCATAATTTACGCGCTTTGTTTGCCATTTCCTGCGGGGGCAGCCGTGGTAACAAGTTGGCCCAGTTTGTTTGCACATGCCACTATTTCCACTGGCCATAATTGCTCATTATCCCTTAGTCCTCGCATCCCGGCCTTCTCATTCTCAGTCTCGTACACTCCCATCATCATCATCATCATCATCTTTATCCTCATCATAAGCCATCGCAGTGCATTTTATTTATAGTTTTTATTTAAGTATCTTTTTTCTTTATTTTTTTGCGCTGCTTGGGCGGTTAGGTTCTCCGCTTCATTGCATTTACGCAATTATAAATAAAGAGGAAGAGCAAAATTGTTATTCAATTAAATTTGATTACTATTTTTAAGCACTTTTCACCTTGAATTTAAGCTGTGTCATTGCATATACGTGATATTTATTAAATGTAAAAGCCTTTTAAAGGGGTTTAAATCTTAAAGGGGTTTAAAAAAATAAAATAAGGATGTAACGTTGTTATTTCGTTGGTTTTATTATCAAAATTTAACGCAAGGATATAAAATCTACTTCACAAGGCACATTTAACCTGTAAATTCACATCCAGTAAATTCCCAAGGATTAACTGTCAATCCTTAAAAGGACTGGATAAATATTGATGTTTTTAACTCAATTAAGTTTACACAAAAGGGTCATTAATTTGGAAAGGTAAATACCCTTAGCCAAATTGGAGTGCTATCAGTTTTCATTTAAATAAACACATAAGGACGTTTTCTAAATTTTACACTTTGCTTGCCTTCTTGTGTGTTTGGATTATTTTTCGAGCACGTCCATCGATTCAAGTGAAAGTTCAGTAACTATTTATAAATACTATGCCTTAAAGAGGAATTTTTTCTTTGGTCGAGTCACCTTAACTGAACCAAAGACACTGGGCCAAGTCATTTGATCGGGCGCCTTGCAGCTGCGACTTATGAACGCGGGTGGAAAGATAGTGAACGATATAAATTATGCCACTGAGACGATTTCACTGTCATTCCTTGGTTAGAAGGCAATCCAACGGATGAAGTCACACGGCTGCCGGCTGATAATAATTTACATTGCGAACTATCGATTTTCGGGGGCGTGGGCGAGCCCCTGACCAGCTCTATATCTTGACGCATGTCCGTCAAAGCGAAACGCTCGAAAGGCGGGCCACAAAGACGGAGACAACTGACGAAGCTGACAAATACCCTTCGACTTTTTGAGCAATTTATGGCCAGCACTTGGCCCGCTGATTGGGTCCGTTGATTGCCGGCCACTGGTCACTTTTTCCCACTTTTTCCTACTTTTTCCCCCATTGGACATTGGCCAAGGCCAAAGGGCTTAGGCTGCACTTGGTCGGTGGGGTCGGTCGGTCAGTGTTTTTGTGTTGTATAGTGTTGGGACCGGTGTTCAGTATTCAGTGTTCTCCACTTAATGTTTTATGTTCGCCGTTCTGTGTGTGCCACATTCTTAAAGGTCACGCGAGCCATTGCGAATGGGTGGCCAAAGTGATGGAAATCCCATTTATTAAATGAAGCGAAACGAATTGGAAATGGAGAGCGTAGAGGGGGTGAAATAAATCCGGGATCATGTAATTAAGATTAGATTACACTATTACAAAAACGTACTTCAAATGTTAGGATTATTTTGGAATCAGGAGTTTATAGAATTCCAAGTTAAAGAAGTGCCAAGAAAGGGGAGAAGCATTTGTACAAAATGTACAGCAAGTAAAACAATTCTTTACATTGATAAGATTATTTACAATAATGTACAATATATTTTACTTAAATTTTATAACTAAGGTTTATTTTAATGGGGTTATTTTATACATTAAGTACTTTGATAGCTGAGCTAAATAGATTTCCCCATTCAAATATTTAGAAAACTGTCAAGTGATTACAAAAAAATTAATTTGTTTACTTATGGAAGTGGGTCATTTAAAATGTATTTCAAATGAAAAAAAATTGACAAGGACAAGGGTCAAAGATCATTGAAAATGAGTTCTAAATGCAGCACGAAATTGATAAGAATCGAACTTGGACAATCACTGACTAGCAATGAAAACTATCAATGGAAATATTAACTGTTTGATTGATTGATTGACGAGCTGTAGATAAGGTAACCCCAGTGCTCTCTATATAAGTAGGTCTTCGTGGAACCGCTAATGTGATTTCTACGATCTGCTGGTCTTTCACAAGCGTTGCGTATTATTTGTGGATTCACGTACGACATCGAGGGCTTTACCTTTGGCGTGATGGGCGGATAGAACGGTGGCAGTTCGTGGCAATTGGGGCACCATGGGCTGGCCATCTTTGGTGGATCGTTCCGGGCGGACCCCTCGTCGTGGTCGTTGTGGATTTCGATGTGGATCTAGTGGCGGCTGTGATTGCTTTCCCCTCGCTATCCGTTTTCATATTCGCTTTCTTTTGGGAAAGGTGTTTGGTTGTTGTGGTGGTGTTGTAGTTGTTGGTGTAATCGAATTTGGAATAGTGTTGGGTGGATGGGTTCGTTGTGCAATGGAGGACTTTGAGTACTCACCTAGTACTGGCTAAACCACCGAGGCAGGGCTCCAGGGCTGCCAACATTCACACGCTCAAATCGCACATCAATGTGTAGACGATTTGTGGTCGCTGCAGCTCGCCAATGTTGCACGTGGAAATGGTCTGGCTTGCGGATTTTCCTCACTTGCTGATGGGTTTCTCTGGTTATTTCATAATTGCATTTCGGTTTGGTTTGGTTTTTAGAACGACGGCGTTATCGGCTTCATTGACCTTATCAGTTTCATTGTGCGTTTGTTTGTTTGCTTATTTATTTCTTTGCAATTTTGATCGATAGTTCGCTTTGAATTTGAATTGGAATTTGGTTAAATTAGTAACCGCGCCTAGTCACACTGCTCATGTTTCTTTTACAATTCGCTTCTTTGTTTGCCTACGAAATTTTTCCTTGTGTGTTAAGCTGCAAGAGATTTATGAAGTTGAGTGATTATTAATTAATATTTAAATAGCCAAGGCAGCGACGACCGCGGTAATTAATTATATTCTTTGGTAAAGCTGTCAGAATTATTTGCGATTTAATTTTTTACGACCGCCGACATTTGTCAAAGTTTTTAGGTACTTATATATTTGTGTTTTGTACGATTTCCCATATTAGTTTTTATGTTCTTGGCTGCTGCTGGCTTTCACATTAAATTAAATGTCAACTTTTGTAAAATTAATATTTGTTCACTTTTTTTCTAGCCGGAAAAACAAGACGTCAAGTAAATAAATAAATAAAGATGCGAAGCAAACTTCAAAGCAAAATAAGCAGCTCTCGGTGTTTTTTAATTCTCTGTTCACGGAGAATTCTCAGAGAATCACTGGCATTTTCTCACTTTTCTGATGGCGGATTGGCGACTGCGCATTGTGGGGAATCCGAAAATTGTCGGGGTGAAAGCTTTTTCCTAGTCTGCGAAAGTCGCACATTTTGGTTAAGCATACGCAATGTGGTACCAAAATCCAGCCAAGTTTAAAATATTTCAATTGCTATTTGTTTGGTGTATTTTCATTATACTTTGAATTTACTAAGGTTTTTGGAAACCAGTATTTTATTAATTTAATTAACATTTGTTTGCCAGCCAGGTTAGCGAGGCTTTGCTGTCCAGGGGCTTCGTCCTTTTGCCTGCGGCATGTCGTTGAAACGGAAACACACTGCCCTAGTTTCTAGTTATCCTTCGTGTCGCACACAAGCACACATACGCACACATTCGCACCTCGCAGGACACACACTTTCGTGCGCTTAACAAGCTGCCTAATGCGCCTGCAAACAATGGAAACGGGACAAATGCCGAGTCAAATGAAAGTTGCATTTTCATAATAAATAAGCAGGCGACACAATTTCCCACGGCACGCCAACGAGCGGAAAACGTTGGGTAAGAATAGTGGGAGGGAGGGGTCTTCCCCAAACACCAAACGCCAAGCCCCAACGAAGGGGAAATGTAAACAGAGCTTAGTCCTTCGTCCTGGCCGCGCATTGAACTCGCCTGGATTTGGTGGCTTCATTTGGGTAGGTATCTGGGTATCTGCGTATCCTGGCGCACGCACACACACTCACATTCGGCCAGCGACCGACTGGCTGACACACATATACCAAGGCATCCTGCGGCACACGAAGGACGAAGGACGACGGACGAGTAGGAAGCAACAAAAATAACATTGACGATGACAGCAACAGCAACGGTAAAGGCTGGCGAACGATACAAGTGTATCTCCGGCCTGGAACATCGACTTTATCATCGGCTCGGGTCCTTTCGCTTCGTCCTTTTCGTTTTGGGGAACTTGTGGTGTGCTCGTTTCGTGCGAAGGAAAAACTGTGCCGTATGCGCATGTGTGTGTGTGTGTGAGTCCGTGTATCCGTGTGTGTTGACTTCAACGAATGTATCTTTTAAATGAAAACCTGCAGCAGGACAAAAAAAAGTGAAGAAATCGAGAAATATCCTTTACTTTGCCATAGCCCACTTTTGCCTCCTCAAAGTATGCACCACTTTTTTGCAATCACAATTTCCATTTTGGGGCACACGCACACACACACTTGGTCACTAATTAATTGAATTTCCTGTGCTTATTGCGTTTGTGTGTGTGTGTGTGTGTGTCGCACATTTTCACGTTCACTGAGCCCGTTTTCAACGGATACCGAATTTTGCACAATTGCCGTTCCGCAAATGGCCACGTTAATTGCCTGGATTACACACGTTTTTGCTCAATTTTCCCCGTAATTGGCAAACGCTATTTGAAAATTTTTCACTTTTCCGACTGTTATATGGGTGTGTGTATGGGTTTCCCGTGTATAATATGCACATATATGCGATAGGCACTTTTCCACACAGTCCACTCACTCACACACCCAGAAAACCAGACGCGACGCGCTCCGGATAGAAAACCAACCTTTCTCGTCAGCAGCGTATACAATTCTGCGCGCTGTGGACTCCGACGACTTGCAACTCGGTGGCCCAAAGTGGTTCCGCACGGCCCAAGCTCGTCCTCCCGAGCTTTTCGGAGTGCTGCGGCTGGTGCGGGCTGGACGCTCCGTTCGATTCATCAAAACTGGCGCCAAAACCCATTCACTATGAATGACCCAGTGCGGTGGGGATGATGACGATGATGATGATGGTGGTGGTGAAGGGTGCTAGTGTGTCAGTGCAAGCAAATTTCCTGCGATGCACACGTGGCGTATGAGGAATGTCCGACGGGATCCGTAGCACACTTTCGGGATATGTTTGCTTATGTAGTTTAAAGGGAGTCAGATGCTTAAGAAAAATGCATTTTCTTGATATAATTACTTTAAAAAAATACGTATAAGTTTTTTTTTAAACATTGTAATTGTATTGTAAAGAAAAAACAAATTTGTTTTTTCAGTAATATTTTACTAAATGCACTATTTAATTTGAGGAAAAGGTCAAATATGACTGAGGAGTATTCAGTAAATACACTTCCAATTATTACAAAAGTTTAAGAATTTCGAATGAAATTAGATTATAATTAAATTGAATCTGAGAAAAGTTTACCAACATAAAAGTTGACTTATAATTATTACCCTTTGAAGAAATACCTCTTCAATAAATACTTCCTTTATAAGTACTTATAAAAATACATAAAACTAAAATATTTTCCGCTTACCCTAATATTTCCATGTTTTCTGCACCATCATCATGAAATTCAAATCCTGTTCAGCGCCCATAACATCGATTGAAATCTCTGATTTTTGTATAAAACGTATCGATAGCCTTGTCTGGCACCGATAGTTATGTCACCTGGGTTTATTTTGGTCTGAACTATCTAAACCGGCGTAGATTTTTCCGTCTGCAAACCAAAACTACTGAGAATCCTGTCCAGGATTCGGAAGACACAGGAAGCAGTAGAAGGACCATGACGACGGCTGTGCTGGGAGGCGGGCTGAGCGGCCTGTCCGCCGGATACTACCTGTTGCGGCGGTTTGGGAAGCCGCTGACCATCTACGAGGCGTCGCCAAGAGTGGGCGGATGGGTGCGGACGGAGAACCGCAAGGACCGAAACTTCATCTTCGAGAGCGGACCGCGCACCATCCGCCCAATTGGCGTTCAAGGAGCCAACACCCTGGAGCTGGTGGAGGAACTGCAACTGGAGGTGACTCCCATCCGACGTAGTCATGTAGCTGCCCGCAACCGGATGTTATATGCCAAGGGGCAGCTCTGCATGCTGCCAAACGGTCCCAAAGGACTCTTTGGCGTACTGCCTCCTTTCACCAAGCCGCTTTACAAGGCGCTGTTCCGGGATCTGGTCACCGCGAGCAAGAAGGCCAAGTTGGAAGACGAGAGCATCTACAGCTTTGCAGAACGGCGGTTCGGCAAGGAGATAGCCGACTACGCCATCAGTCCCATGATATGCGGCATTTGTGCCGGAAATGCCCGCGAGATCAGCGTTCGCTTTCTGATGGAGGGTATCTTCGAAAAGGAGCAAAAGTATGGAGGAGTACTTAAAGGCGCACTCTTAGCCCGCTTCCGAGAAAAGGCAACGGACCCCAAAGAGGGCCTCTTCGCTCAAGGACAGCCAAAGCTGTACGCCCAGGCGCAGCAGGAGAAGTGGGCCATGTACGGCCTGCAAGGCGGACTGGAGAACCTGCCCAAAGCCATGCGAAAGTACTTGGGCGAGCGGGATGTCAACGTGCAGCTGAGCAACGAGTGTCGCAATCTAACATTCAACAGCTCTGGCGTCCGGATGACAATTAAGGATGCCGATGTGCCGGTGGAACATGTAGTCAGTTCCCTGCCCGCTATAAATTGGCGCCACTGGTGAAGCAGCAGCATCCCTCGCTGAGCGCCCAGCTACTGGACATTCCTTACGTGGATGTGTTGGTGGTGAACATGCAGTTCCAGGGCAAGCTGCTCAAGCAAGACGGATTCGGACTCCTGGTGCCGCCCGTGGAGAAGCTGCCCATACTGGGTGTGATCTTCGACAGCTGCTGCTTTGAAATGGGCGATAACACCGTGCTCACCGTGATGATGGGTGGCCATTGGTTTAACCAATGGTTCGGTGATCGTCCCAGCCCCAAGCAGATCCTCGACTTAGCCACCAGCCACGTGCAGAAGATCCTGCAGATCCGCGAAGAGCCCAAGTTCAGTCGCGTGCACACGCTGCACAAGTGCATCCCGCAGTACACGGTGGGCCATAAGCGACGCGTCGAGGGCATCCGGAACTACATCAAGACTTACAAGCTGCCACTGTCCCTTTGCGGAGCTGCCTACGATGGAG